GAGAAATGGAAAGGGAGATCTGAAAGGAAAAAGAGAAATGGACGAAAGAGGCGAAACTAGGTTATATGAAGTGGCTAAACAGAGGGAAATGAGATGATTATATATAACCAGAGAACTCAAAAATTCGAGAAGGTTCGAAGCCTATTGTGTTTTTGACCCGTTCGATTGGAAAGAGAATGAACGGTCGGATTTCCTTGTACAAGGTCTAAGTTAGACTTCAGATTTCCCCCTTTCCCTCTCCTCCATGTATTTTCCCACCTCTGGCTCATCACATCCAGCGAATCTGTAACCAAAATTCAATTTTTTTTTTTAATTATCATTTTAATCTAAATCATAATACAAAATAAATATTTTTTAAATTTTGAGAATAGTATAAAAAAAATATCACCATTAATTTTTAATATTTACGATATTATTCAATATGAGATCTTATAGTAGGAGTTAAGGTTCAGTAGTGATTGAGAAGGAATCCGGAATCTAGGAGTTAAAGTCGAATTCATCTTTCTTCTTCTTCTCATACTTCAATCCGCCCCCGAGTTGGAGAGGTTCAGGAGAGAAGCCTATGTTACCTCATTCAATCAGTCAAAGGTTCATGAGTTTACCTTGTTCAATCAGTCAAAGGTTCATGAGTTTACCTTGTTCAATCAGTCTCATTCTTCTTTCGTCTTTACTTCCGATAAATAGTTGAAATAATAAGTTCCGAATTTCATTCATTTCTTCTACTGCAAAGGTTCATATGAAGTAACTCATCAGGGCATATCGGGTCAGGTTCCGTAGCTGATCATACATTCAGCTTATCTTACAGAATTAAAAAAGGAAAAGGGTTGAGTCTCATTCATCTTGAGTGCTTTCATTTCAATTCGACTGAACTCCGCGTGTTCTTCAGTAGATATTGTCTAATGTAAATTTCACAATCTATTCGCTTGAAGACTAGCTTCCTCGCTAATATATGTGAGATCTCACAGTCCGCCATGCTTACAAGTACAACGTCTGCATTGATGTTCTGACTCTTATGCTATTTATAATGGCCCAAACCCATCGATAACATATATTGTCCTCTTTTGACTTTTCCTTTTCACGCCCTTATATTTTCGTTCCCTCTCCAATGGTGAATACTGTATTACCCCTTGTTGGGGGACGGAGGAGGCTAGGTTAGCCGAAAGATGGTTATCGGTTCAAGGACGCAAGGTGCTTTTCAGGGTAAGAAGAGGTAGAGAAAATACCTCGAGCCAATTTTCGAGTACCAGGCGCTACGGCGCTGAAGTAACCCATGCCATACTCCCAGTAAAAGCTCGAACGACCTGCAGCAAAAGGGTACCTGTACCCGAAACCGACACAGGTGGGTAAGTAGAGAATACCTAGGGGCACGAGACAACTCTCTCTAAGGAACTCGACAAAATAGCCCCGTAACTTCGGGAGAAGGGGTGCCTCATCACAAAGGGGGTCGCAGTAACCAGGTCCAGGCAACTGTTTACCAAAAACACAAGTCCCCGCAATGTCGTATGAGTTCGAATCTCATATTGCTACTCTACATTTGATTTTGGTATGTTTCACTAATTTACATTAAATTAACAAAAAAAAAAAACAAAAACCCGAAATTGGTCTATTTATATAAATTTAATAATTAAATTAATACAGTGGTTAGTTGGAATATAAAAATTTAATAATTAAATTAATACAGTGGTTAGTTGGAATATAATTTGATATATAAAAGAAAAAAAAAGAAATGGCAACGGGATACAATCCAATCGTGACCATTTCTGATCCTTCTAACCAATAGGGTTTTGGAGATGGACCGTTGGGCTGTACCAAATGGCCCACGTGAATTGGGCCGACACGTCATTGCCATCTGTTCTTTTACTTCGTTATATTTAAATAGATCGTGTATACCTTAATTATGTCTTAAGTTATATTTATATTTGGAAAATAAAAATTTATTAATTTTAAAGGATTAAATCTTTATAAAAATTTAAAAGTATAAGCAAAAATTGATTATTTTTCTCGTTCCTTGGTACATATAATTTGTTAACTCATATTATTCGAAATATTCATGTTATTTCAAAAGTTCCAATATTACCTTCCATCATTCCTAATAATTTCAAAATTAGATTCGAGTAGAAATTGATTATAATGTTTCATGAAAGTCAAGTCCCAAAACGAGTGAGCCTACCAGGAACATAATTTAATTTCAAAATTAGATTCGAGTAGAAATTGATTATAATGTTTCATGAAAGTCAAGTCCCAAAACGAGTGAGCCTACCAGGAACATAATTTAAGACCGAATATGATTACATTCGTTCTATGTCTCAATCTTCATCTTCATTTTACAAATCTCAATTATTAATCCGAAATATTTATGAAAGTAAATTAAAAAAAAAAAGACTAATTAAGTACGCACATACGTTCAATCTTCCCTGCCATAGGCAAAACTTATGAAGTCCAAGGACTCATCCATTATAGCCGTCGATTTTCACGAACGATATAAACCGACCGACCACTAGTAACCCACCTGGCAGAGAATCAATCATCTCTAAATATATTTTAATAATTAAAAATTTCAAAACTAGTATTTTTATTTTAAATCTTATATCTCAATTTAGTAACGTATTTAACAAAATAGTATTTTGCTGAATCAACATAATTTAATTCACCGAATCGTTATAAAAACGCGCTAAATACATTAAAGTGATTATAAAAATGTACTCCATCTATTAGAAGAGTGAATCAACATTTTGATTATAAGATAAAATAATAATAATAATAATAATTTAAAATATTTAAAAAAATAATTCTTTTATTATTCTTCCATAAATATCGGTTATTTTGTTGATATTTCCACCTATATTTTTGGAACTCCAAATTAAATTAGCATTTATTTTATTTATACGGTGGTTTGAACTAAAAAAATATCGATTTATTGGTTTATTGACAAATTAAAGTGGCCAAACTTAATTAATTAATTAACTAAAGTTGCATTTTTATAATTTTGGATAATTATCAATAATGGGGAATTGACAAAAATAACCTTCTACGTTATTATTTGACTAGCTCAACTTGGTATTTAAGTAACCCAATAAATGATTGGCATTTAATATAAAACATAAATAATGTAAATTAATCATATTTAATACATAGTTGAAATTTGATCAACCCCTTAATCCTTTTAAGTTTAAAATTTCATAATATTTTAGTTTTACTTTATTTTTTATGTGTGAGTTCTGTAATATTCCAAAATATTGATATTTTTGTTTCATTGAGGGATAAAGTTGGAATTTTTGTTATATTAATGGTTGTTCTTATAAGATTAATATCCCAATTTATTGTAAGAGTGTACAAAAAGTTTATATAATGTTGGTATTAATTTTTTTTTAATTTTACTTTAAGGAGAAGTGAAAGAACTTAATAATTTTAACCATAAAAAAGTAACGCGTGTTAAGGATATTTAATAATAAATTATAATTTACCATATATATTATATTTGATATTTTATTATAATACAAATATTTAATATTTACTTTATTACGATAGATATCTTTCCTTTTTATTGTTATTTTTATATCTTTGTAATTTATTTGAGTATAGATAAGATAACTTTGACACCATTCAGATGTGGTGGATTAATCAAATATTTTTAATGCGGCATGTAAAAATATATGAAATATAGACAGACACGTTTTGTAATCATGTTGTAGAAAAATGTTAGTAAGATGTGTAATGTAATTTAATTATAAAATAAATGGTCGGAGTATTCCTCTGTCCCACTGCCAACCAAAAATCTCTTATTTTTAAACATAGCCCTCTTCTTCCTCTTATTACCCCGCATACATACAACCACTGATAATGACGGTGGCGGTGACGACGGCGGTGCTATGGAGGATGCGCCTCGGCTCGGCTCTACGAGCGGCTTTGGCATGTGCCATAATCGGCGTCATCACGGTGTTCGGACCAGCACCTGTGAAGCACTTATTGGCGTTCTCGGCTTTCTCTTACGTCACCATCATTTCCATATTGCTTTCCGACGCCGTTTCTATTGGCGACGCTGTGATGGGTGTGTGGCACGTGATGTGGGCAGTGGCGTTGGTGGTGCTCTCGTCTGTACCGTGTTTGTGGCTGATCAAACCGGAGCGGTTCACTGGCAGCGCGTCGGCGGCAGTGGCCGTGGCCGTTAGTGCGTTTATGGTGGCTTTGCCGGAGCGGACCCACTTGCTGACGAAGCGAATCGCGTTTGGACAGCTTGTGATCGTGTACGTCGGGACGGTGATTCACGGCGGTCAGACGAGTTTTTATATGCACCCAATTCGTGTTGCGTCCAGTACGGCTGCGGGAGCTCTTGCCGCCGTCGCCGCCATGATGCTTCCCTACCCACAGCTGGCCTCCTTTCAGGTAAATCTATTAGACGATGAAAGTACCACGTTAGTTAATTTAGAGAATGATCATGTGTTTATAAACAAAGAATACTCTCTCCATAAGTGAGAGAACTTTTGAGAAACCCAAAGCAAACCCACAAGAACTTAGGCTTGAAATGGATAATATCTTAGGATTGTGGAGAGTCGTTCAACTATCTTCGTAATCACGACCAAAATTTTAGTTAAAATAAAATTTTGATTATATATATAATTTAAAGGATTATTATTATTATTATTTGGTTTTGAGTAGTATTAATATAATAAAAATATGTATTAAAGTTATTTATTTTTTTTATTTTTTTAAAACATCACATCATAATAAAAAAACTATTGAAGACATATAATTAAATATATTAAAATTTTAAAACGTTTGACCTATAATTTCTTTTAATTTTGCACGAGACAAAGAATAAATAATTAAATAATTAAAACAAAACCCATTAAAATCTAATAAAAACCTTTTCAATTGTGTAACTAAAGTATTTAAATTATTGAAATTATTATCTGACGTGGAAATAAAATAATAATATATTTTTTTGAAAATATATAAATTGATTTGGTGCGAGTGCAGATGAGGAAACTTAGTAGGGGCTATATTGAGAATGGCTGCGAGAGAACGGCGGCCATGGTGGATGGGTTGGCCGCGGGGAGCAAAGCAGAGGCAGCTGCGTCAATGGCCGACGCCAAGTCGCTATCGATATATGGAACAAAGCTTCTTCAAAGTATCAAAGAAAATATGGTATGATAACTTCACCCTCAATTTCACGGTAGCGATTTGGATTTTAGTGGTTAATGCAAGCCTTGTTGGTATGAACACAGGGAGGAATGATCTGGGAAAGGTCACAGACGGGCATCGACATTGCAGGAAAGTTGGAAGAAATTGAAGTTGCAATGAGAGGAATGGAAGCTGCCCTGACTTCCCCTTCCATTGCCTTCGGAGCAATGGACGAAGAACTCTGCAATTTGCTCAACGATCTCAAACCCAAGGCCATCTTGAACCTACAGCAGCTCAATTTCACTACTGCGCCGGAGAAGAAGCCCGCGTTCTCAACTCATCGGCTGATTAATATTTCTCCCATTATCCCTCAAATTCTGCCGGTTTCGTTCTTCTTGCGGTGTATGGAAATTCTTCTGTATGACTCAACCTCCGCCGCCGCCGCCGCCGCTTCCCGGAATCTCGTCTCCGAGGTGAAAATAGGTCGGAGACTCAATGGGGGAGAGGCAACTGAGTTGGGGGACGATTGTACAAAAAAGACTCATTGGGGCATTTCGTCGAACATGTTGCCTACATTCAAGAGTTTTTGTTTTGCCCTGAAATGCTCGATTACGTTGGGTCTTGCCGTGTATCTGGGTCTGACTTACACAAAGCGAAATGGGTATTGGTCAGGATTGACGGTTGCCATCAGCTTTGCAACTGAGAGACAAGCAATATTTACAGTCGCCAACGCTCGAGCTCAAGGGACGGCAATGGGGTCAATCTATGGCGTCGTATGCTGCTTTATTTTGCGTAAATATGAGTATCTATGGCTCTTACCTCTTCTCCCTTGGGTTGTTTTTTCCAGCTTTCTAATCCATAGCAGAATGTATGGTCAATCTGGTGGCATCGCCTCAGCATTAGGCGCGTTGCTTGTTCTTGGGAGGAAGAACTACGGCATTCCATCTGAGTTTGCAAATGCTAGAATCATAGAAGCTTGCATAGGATTGCTCTGTTATCTGACCGTGGAGGTTGTTTTCAATCCAACAAGAGCAGCAACTTTGACAAAAACAGAGTTCTCAACAACTTTAGAGATCCTTCAAGATTGCATCAAGAGGGTAATCCTTATTCCCCATAAGAACTCGTATGAATCTTCTTCTACTTTGATTCCATTGATAGAACAGCACAAAAATCTGAAATCCCATGTTAGTCAATTAGAAAAATTCATTATAGAAGCTGAGTTTGAGCCAAATTTCTGGACTACACCTTTCCAAGCTAGCTGCTACGATAATCTTGTGAAATCTCTGCAAAAATCAGTAGATATCTTACAATTTCTGGTGCATGAAATGAGCTCTCTGTCTCTAGAACTCAACAGTTCTAACTTAAGTGAAGACATGGAGGCATTCAGCAAAAAAGTTGGATGTTCTTTGAAGTTCATGGAGAAGGTGAGCCTGATAAAGTCCTTGAAGGAATTGCAGAGCAAAAAGCAGGAGATGGAAAAGGGTTCAAACCATGGAAGCAGAGCTCTAGCTCTCAGTGAAGAAGATATTGAGACAATTATGGGTTCCTTCTGCCAACATGCAAATGAAATTCTGAGCAAAGCTTACATAAATGGTGAAGATGAGGCAAATCTGAAAGGCCAAATGACACAGCGCTTAAGTTCAATTGGGTTTTGCATGGAATGCTTGATGAGAGAAACAATGGCGATGGAGAAGGAAGTGCACCAACTGCTGAAACTGGAGAATCCATCCATTCATATTGATTTGCAAGAACTTTCAAGAAAAGTTGATGCTTACTGTGCATAAGAAACTGACTAGATATCAAAACCATAGCGATATATCTATATAGATATCAAGAACTCAAAACCATAGCGATGTATCTATATAGATATCAAGAACTTTGCAGCAATCGGGCGGCAATAATTGCATTAAAAAATTAACCTAGTCTCTTGATTACCGGAGCAACTTGCTCCACTTATAGCATGTGCCAGATTGAAATAGGTTTTTGAACATTTAATCTGAGGTATAATACAATTTTTTTTTTAAAAAGGTCGAATATGCTAAGTGAAATAGCAATGGTGAGACACTTGTTTTAACTCAGCAAATAAGTTAGCTGTATGAAAATTATAAGTTCTGACATATGCTTGATCCTCGATCACGTTCAAGAGAAAAAGTAAGTTTTAGATAAAATATAATTCGGGTAGAAAGAATTGATAACTAAAATCAAAATATAAAATTTTGATAAAGATTTTAAGAAATAATTAAAAAATAAAAAAGTAATGTATATTTGGTCTACCCTATAGTGTTGTGCATAGGTATACATTTATCTTTTTCGTGCATCTACCGTAACTGTAAACTTCAATGGTGGAAATATCTAAAGATTCCAACCCACATTAAACGCCAAAATCTCGCCTCACCCTCCCCTCTTTCAACCTGCTCCTTCTCTTTCCCTTCATCAAACCCTATTCCCTCAATTTCTCTCTACATTATTTCAATCTGTTTCTACGTTTTCAAACAGATTGCCTCTCCAGAATTGCGGCGATTTTCCGATCACCGACGATCTCTGTTTTAAAACCATAGAGCCTTTTGATTTCTGATTTTCTGGGGGTTTTCCGCCTTTTCGTATTTGGGAATTTCGTTCTAGGGTTTTTGATCCGATAAATTTGGGGGTTTAAGGAGGAGGAGGCCATGTCGGCTGGAGTCTGTGGAAAGCGGGTTGGGTTTGAGGAGATCTTTGGATCTTCTTCTCCGACGGCCTGTTCTTCCGCTAAAAGGTCCCGGTGGTTCAGTTTCGGATCCCCGACCCGATCGGAGTTCGGGTCTGGACATGAGGATTCTGCTTCGGTTTTGCTTCAGATGTTCCCTGGAGTCGGTGCCGAGGTTTGTTTCCAGGATCATCAGTTGTTGCTTTATGAATTCCGTTTTTAGTTTATCTTGGATTATTGGTTTCAGCCTTTCCATCAAATTTTCAAATGAAAATTTGTATAGGTTTTTATTTTTAATTTTTTATGGAGTACTGTTTCTTCTCCACTTGATTGATTCTGTCTGTTTGTAACCAATGCTTCTAGATGTAATCAGAAAGGAATGACATAAAGATGGTTTGATATCAGGATATTCATAGGCATTATAATCAACCACTTTGTCATGAATTAAAGCTTTTGGAAGATCTGATTATCCTTTGTGTGCATGTTTAGCGGGTCGGAACTGTTCTTAGGATCATAATTTGAAGATTAAATGTGCAAGTGTTGCTCTACAGGCGCCTTCCTTTGATGATTTTAGTGCTCGTGTCGATTCTGCAACGATTGGAAATTGTTCTACGGTCCCAGATGAGAGAACAGCTACATGTAAGTTGTTATTATACATGTGTGTCATCTGACATTGGTTTAAACAGGTTTGATTACTGATAATATATACATGGCCTTGATATCTTACTCCAAGCGAATCGGGTTTTTCTGAAATCAGGCAGCGAAATGTCACACGAGAAGGTCGATGAAGCCACCGATGCTGGTTCGGCCATTGGTGAAGGATATGGAATGCATGGATCCAAGTGGGTGGACATGTTTGTGCAAGAAATGGGAAGCGCGGTTGATGTTGGTGATGCTAGAATTCGAGCCGCAAGGATTTTAGAAGCTTTTGAACATAATGTAACTGTGCATTCAAGAGAATCAGAGGAGGTAGTGTGGAATTATTATCCATAGACTGTTCAATCTCCTTTTGATGAAGTGTAAAAGGTTAAATTTTCGTTTCTCTCCACATTATGTTGCAGTTAAAGCATGCTTCTTTGAAGGGGCATTTGCAAAGCTTGGTAAATGACAACCAAATTTTAAAGAGAGCAGTCGCCATTCAGCACGAGCGGAATCTTGAGCAAGAAGAGAAGACAAGAGAAGTCCATCAGTTAAAGCACGTCTTATGCCAGTATCAAGAACAAATTCAAAGTTTAGAGGTATGCAGATGTACTCCTTCATAGTCTTTTTGCTTCGAGTTATCACGGCATCTGCTAAAATCCTTGCGATCGCTAACTTTTTTTTACATCATCGTCTTCATCCTTGTTAGTATGTTACTTCAATATCTTTTGTTCCTAATAAACTTAGCTGTCCTGGTAATATTCTGGAATGTTAGAAGGCTACATTTTGTGAGATCCACATTGGTTGTAGAGTAGAACGAAGCATTCCTTATAAGGGTGTGGAAATCTCTCCCTATCATACGCGTTTTAAAACCGTGATGCAGACGTAAACGGGCCAAAGCGGACAATATCTGCTAGCAATAGGCTTGGGCTGTTACACATTTTTTGTTATGTTATGGAGGAACGTAGCGATTCTATGACTCAATTTTTAAGGCATCTGTTGATTTCATAATTCGAATTGGAATTTAAGAACGCGTAAACGTATAGAATTAGAACACCATAATAGCTTGGGAATCATATAGACCCTGACTCGAAACAAGATTATGTGAAGTTAAGACTGTTGAATATGCAGCTTATGATTCGAATAGTCAATGGTCATCCCTTGTTAGTTGTTACTCGATGCAAGATTACGAGAAGCTATGCCGAAAATTTGCTTTTGTAGTACATGCTACAAATTCTTATGTTGCTATGAATTGTCTTTGTGCAGGTAAGAAATTACACATTGAATCTCCATCTGCAGAGGGCACAATCTATTTCAGGACACTTCCACCAAGACATATTTTAAGGTTGTTTTTGTTTCATTAATTTCCTGTATACGTAAACTTCTTTTCTTTGAGACAAACATTGAGTTGTTGATGCCAACATATTATGAAGTCATTTTGGTTGTGATATTCAATCAAGCCAAACCCACTTTGGCTGTGTTCCTCGTGATGAAACTCAAGATGAAAAGCTATGAATTGTCTTCTCTTTAGTGTTTTAATATCAATCCTAGTTTATGCATTCATATTTGATATTTTCCCTCTATCCTATGCTTTGAATTTCAACACTAAGATATTTGATGTCGATAAAACATTTAATTCTCGTTCTAAAGATTTATGGTTTGATGTCTTACTCTATGATCGTTCACCGATATTTGAATTCCTTATAGTCAAACAACTAATGTACATTTTTAAATAAAAACTAGCTTTTGTATTTTGCGCTCGAGCATGAAATTAAAGTCTCCACCTAATCAAGTTATTTAGGAATAGCTAGATATTCCCGACTCAATTGGTTTTTGTGCATAATCTCGTCAACTCGTCTAGAAATTCTTGGAATTTATAACATATGAATTAAAAAAATCATAATTCATTGTATTTTAATTTAAAATAAAAATATAAGACACAATTTGCTAACAAAAAATCAATAAAAAACCACAATTCAATATTTTAATTTAAAATAAAAATATAAGAAGCACAATTAATTTAAATTAATATAATATAAAATATCTAAGATAAGATGTCAAACGTGGCAGAAGAGGGTAAAATTGTAAATATCACAACTAACAGTGGGGTGTGGCTGTAAAGCATTCCCGCGCGCCGGTGCCGTTCTCCTCGATGAATTTCAAAACCTTCCCCAGAAAAAAGGAGCCAAAAACCTAATGTAAGCAAATCCCTCTAAAAATCTCAGGCGAATTTCGCAAACGCCATGGCTTCTACTCCAGAATTGCATCGACCAACAACCCCCGTCAGCGACACCAAAATCCCCACCCGCGCTTCACTTTCTTACTTCCAGAAAACAGTAAGCGCTCCTTCAAACTTTCCTTCAATTACTTTTATTCATCTGATTCTGATTGTATGTCTAATTGATCGGAAAATAAGGTTTGTTTGCTCGATTGGTGGTTAATCAGAGCTGAAAATGACTCCAATGGGAAATCGCTTGCCGTCGCTGGGCTAACATCCACACCGTAATCATACTTTGTCTCCCGTTCTAGGGCTTTCTTTGTGATTGTTTCTGTTTTCTTTCACATTTTGCCTCAATCTGTTGCCATTTCGTGAAGCGACTCGAAAATTTCCTCCGGAGTTTTCTTTCTGCGCTCTTCTACGTTTTTCTTTTTATTGGTTTGTTTTAGGGGACAACCTGTTCGAGTATTTTCTTCTGCTCCCATTGTTAAGAGATTCGATGTTTTCACTCTGGAGACTGCTGATAGGATCTGTGTTGTTCTTAAGGGTTTCATAAACAAACTTCGTACTACTGATAGTGGCTTTACGGCCGAGGTTTGGATGTCAAATTTGTGGTTCTTGTTTCCTATATTTCCTGGTGCTCTCATTTGGGTTTAATGTAGCTTTCACTATAAACAGGTTTTCAAGCATTTTGTGTTTGGGTTTCCTCCCAACTGGGAAACTTATGCAGCAAATTGCTTCCAGGGAGAAGCTTTTGATAATACTGCTGCTGGGGGAAATATTTCTGATACAGACACTTTGCGTTGTAGATCGAAAAGTAAGTGCATTTTCAAATTTCTACTGGTAGATAAGCGCATGTGGGACACTCTTTTTCTTGTTGGATTCATGTCAAACACTTGTTAAGCACAATCGACCTTGACTAAAAGGTCCAAAGTTCTTCCTAGCAATCTATAACAACCCATATTGATCTCTTTGAGCTTTCCCTTCCGGGTTTCCCCTCAAGATTTTAAAACGTCCACTAGGGAGAGGTTTTCACACCCTTATAAGGAATGTTTCGCTCCCCACTACAACAGTGTGGGATCTCACAATCTACCCCCTTGAGGTTTCCACACTCTTGTAAGCAATATTTTGTTCCCCTCTCCAACCTATGTGGGATCTCATGATCCACCTCCCTTGAGGGCCTAGTGTCCTCGCTGGCACACCACTCGGTGTCTGGCTTTAATGCTATTTTTAACCGCCCAAGTGCACTGCTAATGGATATTGTCCTCTTTGGACTTTCCCTTCTAGGCTTCCCCTCAAGGGTTTAATACGCGTCCTCTAGAGAGAAGGTTTCACACCCTTTTAAGGATTTCCCTCAAGGGTTTAATACGCGTCCTCTATAGAGAAGGTTTCACACCCTTTTAAGGAATGTGTCGTTCCCTTGTCTAACCGATGTGTTGAACCACAAAGAAAAATATCTGTCTGGTTTTGGGTTTTCTTTAAATCTTTTATAACATGACATTGCATTATTAAAAATATGTAGTTGATTTCAACTTCATGAATGTAAGAACTGAGAAAAAGTTGTGAATAAGGTAATGGATTGGATGAAGGAGATTCTATGGCTCAAGATATGATGCAGACAACAAATGCAACTGAAGCTCCAGTTCCTTTCACTGGTTCTGATATTCAAGAAGAAAAAGTAGAAAACAAAAGAAGAAAAGAGAGAGAATCTAGGAGGAAAGTGAAGAAGAAGATCGTTTTCGATTCACCTGTAAGTTATTTCTGGCATTTGTTTGTCAATTCTGTTGATGATTAGAACTGGATTGGTGTGATAATGTGTGGTTCGATTGAAGAAACTCATAAAATGTGTATGGGATGGTGGTTGTTGATTCAGGGAAGTGGTGTTGGTGTGCGTGCAAGGCAAAGGGAGGAGAAAAGGTGTATGATATCTCCAGAATGTTTGAGTTATGGGCGATCACGATCAGGTGAGAATGAGAAGAACAAAGTTGAGGCTAATGCCGATGGGTTGTTGTTTTGTTTTGTTATGTTATGGCCAATGGATTTGAATTCATGGATTCAGGGCGATTACTTCTGCCCACCATGGAGTTTTGGCGCAACCAGCTGCCTGTTTACGACTCGGTAACTTCTTTATTTACTGAATTGAAATATTAATGAAAATATCTCTGCACTCTCAAAGTTATTTTTATTATTTTTATTAATTTGTAATATAGGATCGAAAGTTACGAGGAATCCAGGAAGACTTGCCAGACATACAGCCACAACAATCACAGCCAAGAGGTTTGTTTATTATTTATTTTTTTAAAAATTAATTAGTTAAATAACAAATTAATTTAGAATACAAAATAAAACAAAGTTGGATGGTGTGCAGGCAGCAAGAGCGGTGGTGGAAGAAAGCGGTAAAAGTTTAGAGTGGTTTTGGTAATATTCCTTTCTTACCATTCAATTCCCCAACTGTTGAGTAAATATTAATAATTAGAGAGCCCTCTGATTTGCATTTCATGAATACTCACTTAACTCTACTTTAATTTTGAATTGGGTATTTATTGATTAATTAATTAATTAATTAGCTCGTCAAGATTATATTAGGCTGCATGATTAATTCCACAAACCCAGAATTTACTTAATTCTTATGGATTTATAAACTTCTCAAAAGGGGTATGTTGGAGGGTTCATCCATAATATATATATATATATATATATTATATCCTTCATAATTATAAGATTAAAAAATAATTATAATAATATAAATATTTACTATTATATTCACATTCTGTAACTACTAAATTAATAGAATAATATTGTAGAACATAAAATAAATTAATACATGGCCGAGGCAAATCTTAGATGATCTTCCTAAAACTTGGCTTAGAACTTGAAACAATGTGTCAGATGACAAAAAAATGGTATGGCTATTCAAATTTTTATTTTAAGTTACCCCTACAACAAGAAATTACTACTCCAAGAATAGTTTTGAAACGAGACTCAAAAGTAGTACGGTAACATGAAACAACTGATGTATCCTTGCGTGAAGGAGGTCAATTATTCAAAATTAAAGAACACCGAAGTTTTCAATCCAATGATGCTTTAAAGAACACCAAAGTTTTCAATCCAATGATGCTTTAAAGAACACCAAAGTTTTCAATCCAATGATGCTTTAAAGAACACCAAAGTTTTCAATCCAATGATGCTACGAAGAGAACTCGTGTTCATGTAAAAGCAAACAACATCAAAAAATCCTTACAAATTTGAGAAATACTGAGAAGTACCGATAAGACTTGCTTCAAATGGTTTGAAAACCAACCGCAGCATCTGTTATTTTGTACAAATAAAAACATCACATTCTGCAATGCCACCAATTCCCCTCCAAAGATTCACCTGCAGCAGGCAGTGCATTAACTTGTGAAGCACATTCCTATGTTCTATACCAACAATCGCCACAAAAGGGGACGGAATAGAGAAGAAAAAAAATGAAAATCCAAATATATCTCTCCGCTGGAGAAAGTCAATAATACAAAATTACTGGAACATGAACATAAACATAAACAAGAGATATGAGTGCACAATAACATCTAGAGAAAAATCAATCACTCCACAAACATTGGAACGTATGTGAAGGAAAGAATCGCAATAACTCCAAATAACTTTCAGATTATCGTCAAAATGGAGTTACCCTCTTTTCATTTCTCTCTAGAGATGATTTCGGGTTATATATGATGGATTTTTACCCTCTCTCTAGAATATACCCTTCCAATCAAATACTGGAATATCAACAATTATACTCCAAAACAATGCAACCACGATGGTTATATATCAATGGCCATTAGTGGAAATAAGCAAGAGGAATACATGCACAAAAACAATTTATGACTACCACATTCAAGTAAATATAAAAACCTCATTTCAGAAAACAGAAAACCAATAATAATGTACAATTCTCTTTGACGGATTCGTGACTTTTCAGACTAAAACCAGAAATCCCCAGACAAATCGAAAGTGTATCAGACAATAGATTTAATTCATAAGCAAATCCAAGGTGCGGGATGTGAGATTGAGTCTGAATCAGTAAATTTAGGGTTCCGAGACAATACCGATTGTGCCTCTGCACGAAGGGAGAGTTCTTCACCTCTTCCTCTGAAAATTAATCGAACAAGTAATCAATGCAGAAAGAATCGAAGGAGTCAAATTAAACCTAAAAACGAAGGAACAAGAAGAAATAACAAGAAATAATGGCAATCGACCATCATACCAGAAAATCCGGCGGTCATCTTGGTAATAATGGTTCCAGTTATGGCGAAACCAACAAGGAACGGCCAATTCCTCTTCCATTCTCGCCTGAAAAACACCGGCCATGGATCGAACTGCCTCATCTTCCTTCGACTGTCTGCGTTCGTTCCTTCGTCTCGATTCCCTTTCACAAGTGAAAATGGGGACTTGTAAGCTCAGATCTTGTTTGGTTATAAGGAGACGACTCATAATCTCGGCCCACATAAATCCAATAGACATGCCGTGAAGCCCACAAAATTATCCATAACTGGGCCAAGCCCAATCCCATTAACTCAACTATTTTAAATAACAATTAAAAATTATTTTAAATAAAATAAATTTACACTTTTACCCCTAAAAGTGACATTTTTTTTTAATATTTTAGAAAAAAATGGTGGTTAGGTGTTATACCAATTAAAGTCACACATAAACTCTAAAGCCTCTTATTTTATATCATAAATAAACAACAAAATTTAAAATTTAAAATTCAAGAAATTTAGGAAGTTGTAATAATTTTCATTAGTTATATTGTAACTTGTTGAATTGTATCGTACATATGAGCCACACGTTTAAATGTCAAAGACACGTGTTGGCTTGTTTGATAGTCGAGTCAAATAGGGTGATCTAATCAAGAAGAAAGCTCGACCATATTAATATTTCCAAAATTTGATTCAAAGTCAATTTAAAAATTAATAATGGATGGCGGGTGGTTTTTGAATATAGTTCATATTCTAATTTTTATTTTTAAAATAATTTAATTTTCATCGGGTCGTTTTTAACTTATTTTACGAATTTATCCTTGGAAAATATATAATTTTTTTTTTAAAAAAAGAAAAAGATGTGTTGTTTTATAATTAAAAAAAAAAAAAAAAAAAATCACATGGCATGAGTCATGTGTGGTCTTTTGAAGTGGTTGCTTTAGCTCACAGACACCTTGCAGCTGCCTTCTTCATTATTGGAACAAAATTAAACTTTGACTTTCTAACTCACGTGCTTTCAAAGCCACCACAATTTTAATATAAATAAATAAATAAATAATTTTAAGCTTTATTATTTATATTCCTAAATTTTAAATTAAATTTTAGATTATATCGAATTAAAATAAACTTTTAACTTTCATAATTAAATGAATTTAGATTATTTATAGTTGACTTGGTAGAAAAAAATTAATAATAATAATTTATTAAATTATTATATTTTAAAAAGTTAGATTATCCTTAATTTTAGGAAAGGTACTTACTTTGTCTCTTAGGACTCACACATTGTACATACTAACTTTACAGCAAATAAAGCAAGTTGGAGGAACAGTGTTAAAAAAGTTTGAAGAAATTAAGAAAATCCTCTTCGCCACGACACGACGACACATATTGTTAATTTAACAAGATATATGAAACTATTTTTTCACGAATTGTAGCAGCAACCACATCAAAGCAAGCATGGTCAATTCTACCGAAAGAGTTTCTAGGAGATTCAAAGGTCATAACAGTGAAATTGCAATCTCTAAGACGTGATTTTGAAACTCTACTCATGACGATTAGCGAATTAGTTGCTGACTTTTTGTCAAGAGCAATGACAATAGTCAGTCAGATGCATACCTATGGAGAGAAAATTTCAGATGAAACAATTGTTGCAAAGGTGTTGAGAAGCTTAACTCCAAAGTTTAATCATGTGGTGGCTGCCATAGAAGAAGCTAAGGATCTATCAATACTCTCCGTTGATGAACGGATGAGTTTGCTTCAAGCTCATGAGTTAAGAATCGATAGATCACAAAAAATGAATGGAGTGAGAAAACAATAATAAAGCAATGCAGCGTTGATTGTCTCTCACCTTTTCAAAGATTATCAATATCTACAGGGTGTACTTTCCTTTTCGATGGCTCACTCATTAGAACTCAAAAGTTAAGTGTCTTTAGCTTGGAGCAATGTTACGTTGAGTGACATATTAAAAATGTTCATGTCATAGGAGATACAAGAGAATCTCAGTAACATCAAATGTCGAATTCAAATTCTAAATCCTGATATGAATTATGGGCCTGAGGCGTTACAAATGATATTAAAGTGGGACCCCTTCTAGTACGATGTGCCTGAGGCGTTACAAATGGTATTAAAGTGAGACCCCTTCCAGTACGATATGGCTCTCGAGCACAAACACAGTCGTATTATAAGAGATACCGAGACGTTACAGTCTTTTAACTCTGCTTTTGCGTACTTCTCGTGATAATAAAAATGCATGCATCAAAAATGTAATCTATTTTTCAAGGTTCTCTTTCAATGCACATGCATGTGAACTCTTTCTTCTACTCATCCCTTTTACAAAAAGAAAATAAATAATTAATTAATTAATTTGAGCCCTAAACATATAAAATAATTATTTAAAAAAATATTGATATATTATTATGAACCACATATTTAATAGTATTGATCTATTTTCTTTTTTGTTAAAATAAAATATATATTTTAAAAGTTTAAAGGTCTAAATAAAATAATTTAAGAATTTAAGAAAAAAAAATCATAAAACTAATTTATTTATCCTTAAAACTAAAATTTCTTATTATTACGAGGAGAAAGTTAATTTTTTTTTTTATAAATATTTTAATTATTTAAACCAGTAAATAATAGTAATATATTTATATTAAATAAAGCACGAAAATTAAATCATACATTTATTTACCATTAAAGTAAGCATTAACATATTTCAATAAATTAAAGTTGATACAGGAAATTAATTTTTTAATTATGGTTAACCTTATCTTGATTTAATTTAATTTCATACCTATTTTGTTTTATCGCCTTTACTTTTACACATTTTGATTTAATTCTAAATTACTTTCAAAACTGTCCTATTCATTACGCCTTATCTACTTCAAGTTGGTTCGAAACTTGGTACATTTACTATTGTAATGGGCATGATTTATTAGTCTGTCTAATAGATTTTTAGACTTTAAAAATATTTTTTTTTTAAAAGAAACTCAATTTTATTATCTTAGACTTTATATATGTATATATGGAATAGCTTAATCAATTGAGGGACCTATTAAAAACAAAATTGGATATTTTTGAAAATTCAAAAGGTAAACTAATATAAATCTAAATTTTTTTATAGAGTCTAGTAGTTAAATAAATATAAATTTAAAAATTTTGTGAAATTTTAATAAAATTTTAAATATATATACGTAAATAGGGCTTACATTCAAGGTGTTTAGAACATGTATGTTACAGGAGGTTTACATACCAATATAAATCATGCTTTGTTTTCCTCTCCAACTGATCTACTCCTTAAAAACAGTATACTAATATGAGATCTCACAATCCACTTCTTGCACAATTTACTCGTTAGCGCTTGTTTCTCTCTCCATTTAATATATATATATATCGCCGAATTTACCCGAAGTTGAGAGGAGCAAAGCTCATTTTCCTTTTGGGGTAAAGGGCACATGAAAAAAAAGATTAAAAACAAAAATGAAATTCAAAATTAGGGAAAAGAAAAGGGTACTAAAAGGGTAATTTAGGTATAAAATAAGTAACAAGCCAAACCCAATTGAAGTTGGAAGGGGATAGGGAGGTGCATTTAAAGCATTTTGGGTTTGAGGCTGTTCTATAAGTAAGCTATCCATTTCAGACTACCATTCTCTTAGCGTTTGAATTTCCAAGTTTTAATTCTTAAAATAAAATTTAAAAAAAAAAAAAAAAGATTCGCAGAGGCCAGAAACACGATGAGCGTGAACATAACCTCCATCAAAATCGCCTCCAATGGCGTCTGGCAAGGCGACAACCCCCTCCACTTCGCTTTCCCTCTCTTAATCCTTCAGTCCGTCCTCATTCTCCTCCTCTCCCGCCTCCTCGCCCTCCTCCTCAAACCTCTCCGGCAGCCCAAAGTCATCGCCGAAATCGTCGTAAGTTCTTCTCCAATGCTCTGTTTCTGCAACTTTTTTGATTTCGTTAATGGGTTCTTTTAATTTTTTAATTTCAGGGTGGGATTCTTCTGGGTCCGTCGGCGCTCGGCCGAAACAAAGCTTATTTGCACCGGATTTTCCCTCAATGGAGCACTCCGATTCTCGAATCCGTTGCCAGCATCGGTTTATTGTTCTTCCTGTTCCTCGTTGGACTCGAACTCGATTTGTCCTCCATTCGTCGCAGCGGTCGGAGGGCTTTCGGAATCGCCCTCGCCGGAATCTCTGTCCCTTTCCTCTCCGGTATCGGAGTAGCCTTCATCCTCCGTAAAACCGTAGACGGCGTTGACAAAGTCGGCTATGGTCAATTCATTGTATTCATGGGTGTCGCCTTGTCCATCACTGCCTTCCCTGTTCTTGCTCGCATTTTAGCTGAGCTTAAGCTCCTCACTACCCAAGTCGGCGAAACCGCCATGGCTGCTGCTGCGTTTAACGACATCGCCGCTTGGATTCTCCTCGCACTTGCGGTGGCTCTCGCCGGTAACGGCGAAGGTGGGGCCCAAAAGAGTCCGTTGGTGTCAGTGTGGGTCCTACTTTCCGGAGGTGCGTATGTCGTTTTCATGATGGTGGTTATTCGTCCCGGAATGAAATGGGTTGTGCGGCGGTGTTCGTACGAGCACGATGCTCTGGGCGACGCGTATATCTGTTTGACGTTAGTGGGGGTGTTGGTGTCGGGATTCGTGACGGATTTGATCGGAATTCATTCGATTTTTGGGGGTTTTGTGTTTGGATTGGCGATTCCGAAAGGGGGAAGGTTTGCGGAGAGATTGATTGAGAGGATTGAAGATTTTGTGTCGGGTCTTCTTCTTCCTCTGTATTTTGCTTCCAGTGGGTTGAAGACGGATGTGGCTAAGATTAAAGGGGGCAGAGCGTGGGGGCTGCTGGCGTTAGTTATCTCCACTGCGTGCGCCGGTAAGATTCTGGCGACATTTGTGGCGGCGATGGCGTTTCTGATCCCGGCGAGAGAGGCGTTGGCGTTGGGGCTTCTTATGAACACTAAAGGCTTGGTTGAATTGATTGTTCTCAATATTGGCAAAGAGAAAAAGGTTAGTTTGAAAAAAATTAATTTAATGAAAAAATTGTTAGAGACTCGATTCCTTTTATCTGGAGCACTCGTCAAAGTATACCTTTTGTGAGTCTTTACTTTTTTCTCTAGAGCCCTCGAACAAAGTACACTCTTTGTGAGGCTCGACTCCTTTCTTTAGAGTACTTGAACAATCTACACCCTTTGTAATGCTCGGCTCCTTTCTCTAGAACTCTCGAACAAAGTACACTCTTTGTGAGGCTCGACTCCTTTCTCTGGAGTTCTCGAGCAAAGTACATCATTTGTGAGGTTTGACTCTTTTCTCTGGAGCTCTCGAATAAAGTACACCATTTGTGAGACTTGACTCGTTTCTTTGGAGCACCTGAACAAAATATACCATTTGTGAGGTTAGACTCATTTCTCTGGAGCCCTTGAACAAAGTACATCTTTGTGAGGCTCAACTTATTTCTCTAGAGTCCTCGAGCAAAGTACACCCTTTGTGATGCTCGAATCCTTTCTCTGGAGCACTTGAACAAAATACACCATTTGTGAGGCTCAATTCCTTTCTCTAGAGCACTCGAATAAAGTACACCCTTTGTGAGGCTTGACTCCTTTCTCGAGCCCTCGAACAAAGTACACCCTTTGTGAGGCTCGACTCCTTTCTCTGAAGCACTTGAACAAAGTACACCCTGTGTGAGGCTCAATTTCTTTCTCTGGAGCACTTAAATTTCTTTGGAGCACTCGAACAAATTACACTCTTTGTGAGGCTCTCAACTTCTTTCTCTGGAGCTTTTGAACAAAGTACACCTTTTGTTCGATACTTCAATCACTTTTGAGGCTAGCAACTTCTTTGTTAGATATTTGAAAATTCTACTGACATAGTTAAATTTTGGTTGGATAGTTCGAGAATTCTACTAACATAACTAAATTAAGGGCACAAAGCATAACATTCGTACCAAATTAAGGGCATAAAATATGACTATAATACAATGTTAGTAATCATTAATATATATAATGGTATGATATTGTCCACTTTAAGATGTTCGTGCACTTTGATTATCTCATAACTAATTAAGGGATTAAACACGCAGGTTTTGAACGACGAAATCTTCGCCATTTTAGTGTTAATGGCACTGTTCACAACATTCATCACTACCCCCACCGTGATGGCGGTTTACAAGCCAGCCCGCGGCGGCTCCACCCCACGAACCCACCGGAAACTCCACGACCTGTCGGGCGACGACGAGCTTCGGATCCTAGCCTGTCTCCACAGCTCTGGCAACGTGCCGTCCCTCATGGGTCTGACCGAAGCGACTCGCAGCACAAAAAACTCATCCCTCAAACTCTTCGTGATGCATCTGGTCGAGCTCACCGAGCGGTCTTCGTCCATCATGATGGTCCAACGCGCCCGCAAAAACGGCTTTCCTTTCTTTGCCAGGTTCCGGAAGGCCGGTGAGTGGCGCGACCAGATGGCTGCTGCCTTTCAGGCCTACAGCCAACTGGGTCGGGTTAAGGTCCGCCCCACTACGGCCGTCTCTTCCTTGGCCACTATGCATGAGGATATCTGCCACGTGGCGAACGAGAAGAGGGTCACGATGATCATCTTGCCATTCCATCGGAATTGGAGGGTGTTTGACGGCGACGGCAAGGAAGAGGAGGAGAATGTGGGCCATGGCTGGAGAGTTGTGAACCAACGGGTTCTGAAGAATGCGCCTTGCTCCGTGGCGGTTCTTGTGGACCGTGGATTTGGGGCCAATACGGTTCATACGCCTGGGCCTGGGCTCATGGTTGGTGTGGCCCAAAGGATTTGTATCGTGTTTTTTGGTGGGCCCGATGACCGGGAGGCGCTGGAGTTGGGTGGCCTGATGGCGGAGCATCCGGCGGTGAAGGTCACGGTGGTAAGGTTCCGGCCGTCGCCATCGAATGGGTTTGAGGGTAGCAACTTCATTTTACGCCCCATGCACTCCAAATCTGGCGACAACCGTTATAGCTTCTCCACAGATCCAATCAACCGGGAAAAAGAAAAGGTACACTTTTTATTTCTTCAAATAAATTTAATATATAAAAGCACTTAAAAATTCATTTCAAACTCACTGTCAACGTAAATGTTATGAATTGGAAAGCAGGAGTTAGATAATGTAGCACTGACGGAATTCAGAAGCAAATGGGATGCAACAGTTGAGTACACAGAGAAGGAGGCCAGCAACACGAACATGATAGTCGAAGGGGTGGTGGGCATTGGAAAGGAAGGTGGTTATGACCTAGTCGTGGTCGGGAAGGGTCGGGTTCCCTCCAGCATGGTGGTGAAACTAGCGGACCGACCAGCAGAGCACGCAGAGTTGGGGCCAGTAGGGGACATACTAGCCAGCTCGAGTAGGGGAATAGTATCATCAATACTAGTAATTCAACAACATGGAGGAGGTGGTCATGCAGAAGAAGCTCTGGTTTTGAAGATAGCAGAATCGAGTAAGAACGAACAGCCCTTGGCAATCGATGGGGCTTCAACTAATGTATAATATCACAAGTGTCTTCAACTTTATTACATTATAATTGGTAGTTAACTGTATCAGTTTACTCTCCATTTCATAGAAAAGATAACATATTATTATTTCAATTTCAATCCCAGTGTATATGTAATCTTGAAAAGGGTGTGTAAACCACTATCTTGTAGACGTGTTCTAAAACCTTGAAGGAGAGTCTTTGAAGAAAAGACTCAAAAATGACAACGGTGAGCTTGGACGGTTACAAATGATATAGAGCTAGATACCAGGCGTACTGAGCCTCCTAAGATTGTGGAAACCTCGAGGGAAAGCTAAAATAGGACAATAGGGCTTAGATGGTTACAAATGTATATAGCTAGATACTGGGCGGTTGCCAACGAGGCTGCTAGACATTGTTAGACACGTTTTAAAATCGTGAAGGAAACCCAAAAAAACAATAGGATTTGGACAGTTACAAATGGTTTAAAGCTAGACATTGTGCCACTAGGCTCCGTAAGGGTGTGGAAATCTCTCCCTAGTAGACGTATTTTAAAACATTGAGAGAAACCCAAAAAAGACAATATTGACAATATCTATCGACGAATAACAACACTTCATTGTCGTGATCTTCCACGACAAGGTTTTATGGGGTACAGGTCCTCCAAGATACCTCCAAGAGTGGACAATGCATCATGAAATTTTCTGATTTTAAGGTAACCCCTTATCCTCGAAATCTCACTCTTTGAGAATCTAGCTTCCTCCATTATCATATCCACAAGCTTTACAAGGGTGTCCTCCATCGCTAAACTACACAGACCTTCAGCCAACATAACAAATGATGAGAATTCAGGTATATTACCTCTTTCTATAATCTCGATCGTGAAGTCCACGGCTTCCCCGATCAGCCCTCCGCCATTGCAGAGACCACGATAAACAATCTTATACGTTAATGAATCTGGAGGATCAGCCTTCTCCAACATCTCTCTGAAAAGTCTCATGGCTTCATGAGTTCTGTTCCGCTTGAACAATGCTTGGATAACAGGATTATAGGCCTGTGGTGTAAGAACCATCCCTTTCATCTGAATTGATCGAAGAAGCCGACTCGCAACCTGAAGTCTTCCTGCCTTACAGAGACCACTACTAAGCGTCCCGTATGTGACGATGTCGGGATTGCATCCACTCGAGGTCATGGTTTCAACTATATCTGATGCCTTTTGAATGTCCCCAGTCTTGCAAAAGTGAGTGAGGAGTGAATTGTAGGTGAATTTATCAAGCTTCAAGCCCTCCATTATCATTTGGTCCATTAAATGAGCAGCATCCGCCATCCTCCTGCTTTTACAAAGACCATCAATAAGAGTGTTGTAGGTCACTGAATTCCTAGAAATCCCTTGAAGCTCCATCTCATCAAATATCTCCTCTGCTTCTTCAATCCTCTTCTTCTTACAAAACCCATCAATTAATGTGTTATACATAACGACGTTACGTGCACAGCCACTCAACTCCATTTCTTTTAACAGTTTTAAAGCTTCCTCCGGTTTCCCACTCGAACAAAGACTGTCAATCAACATATTGTACGTAAGCTCGTCGGGTCGAGATCCTTTACCCTTCATTTCCTCAAAAAGCTCCATAGCATTCCTGTGATTGTTAGACAAGCAGAGACCCTGTATCAAAGAATTGAATGTACAAACATCTGGTAAAACTCCCTTTCTCGAGAGAAAACGAGCTATTTCCGTGGCCTCTTCGACTCGTTTCGTCTTACACAATGCGCTAATTATAGTATTGTAGGTGACAGCATTTGGGGAGCAGTCCCTTGAAACCATATGATCCAGAATCTTAACAGCCTCATCAATTTCACCTAGCTTACACAGTCCAGAAATCAGAGAGTTGTATGTATATGTATCAGGATCAAAGCCTCCTAAAAGCATTGCATCTACGACTTCCATTGCGTGCTTAGCACGACCCACCTTGCACAAACCATTCACGAGAGTATTATACGTAAACTGGTCGGGACGAAATCCTTCATTTTCGGATTCTTGAATAAAACTCAAGGCTTGATCAATTCTACCCTGTTTGCAGAACCCATTAATCAAGACATTAACAGTGATATCAGTACAGAGGCACCCATATTCTACCATATGTTCTTTAATTCTCAGCGCACCATCCAAATTTCCCTCTTCAATGAACCCCTGCATTATAGTTGTGAATGTGGTCTCATCAGGAGACAAGCCATAACTTGGCATCTCTTCCATCATCAAAATGGCAGGCCTAACCTGATGAGCCTTGCAAAGGGCTTTTATCAAAATATTAAACGTTGAAATATCATGCCTAATTCGTCTTCTAACCATGCTAGAATGCGCAGATTCCACAAGTTTAAGCTTGCTGCCATCCACAAGAACATTCAACAACACATTATAGAAACAGGTATCTGGTTTTATCCTATATTCATCCTCCATTTCTTTAACAATACCCATAACTTCATCATACAGCTCAAATTTTGCATAACTCTTAACAAAAATCAAGAAAATACCTCTATCCACCTCACAGCCAATGAGCTTCATCTCCTCCAAGACGCACCTCATGTACTCGAACGATCCTGCCTTTCCAAGCTTGCGAAGAATCTCCTTGTAGAACGACGAACTAGGCACGAAGTTGGGCTGCTTCGAAGCCCAATTGAATACGCGAAGGGCCGCCACTTCATCCCTCTGGCGACGAAGGGTCTCGATAAGCTGCTTCGGAGTGAAATCAGGAGGAAGATGATGAACATTTGGTGAAGACGAAACACTATTGGACGAAGAAGTGGAGGCGAGGTGATCAGAAACTGACGCAGAAAAGAAGATGGAGGAATTGGAGATGGGTTTAGAGGAAAAAGAGAGGGGAGCGTGCGGGAGAGGCCATGGATAACACTTAACACAAGTGAAAGCCATTGGGTCAAATTTTGAGGAGGTCCGCCGTTACCGTGAAGATGCCAGAGAGCTATTGAACCCTCGCCGGCGAAGACGAAGTGGGTCTCTCAGGGAAGATGATACTGCGAATCTGTGAAGGAACTGCTTGATTCAGTTGAATTCCCGAACGATTTTTAGGGCAAATATCCAACTTTAATTCTTAAAGAAATGCATTTATAGAATATATTATTTTATTCTCAATATTTAATTAGTTTAGTATCTTGTTTAAAGGATATAACTATCAATTTAGAATACATATTTTCTTGATTCCGATTCCAATTCTACTGCTCATTCTGAATAGAATGTTAAACGATTTATGTCAATTTTACGACAAAAATTAAGCATTTTTTAGACTTTCGAACACATGGGACATCAGACATGTAACAGCCCAAGCCTACGTTAATAGATATTGTCCTTTGTGAGCTTTTCCTTTTGGACTCCCTCAAGGTTTTAAAACGTGTTCACTGTGAAGAGAGTTGATTGTTCTCTATGAATTTTCCCTTCTAACTTTCTCTCAAGGTTTTAAAACGTGTCCACTATGGAGAGGGTCTAGCCCTACTTCGACCAGCATCTCGCATGATGATCGGCTCTATACCATTTGTAACAGTCCAAGCCCAATGCTAGAAGATATGGTTTTCTTTAGACTTTCCTGCCCTACATTGACCAGCGTTTCGTCTTTGATTTTTGAAACAAAATAGTGAAACGTACGCACGATAGTAGTAATGTTGATTCAAAAAACCAAATAGTCATCCAACCAGAACTAAATCACTTCCGACTAGCACAAATACAGCAAGAACGAACACGAATGCAGACACCAGAGCATTAGAACAAAGAATCAAGCAATCAATTTCTACCAACTTACAAAGAAAACAACAATAAACCCAAAAGTAGAGAGGATAATGTTTGGGTTAAAGAAGAATGTAAAGCCAGCAATCCAAACTAAAACTGAAAAAAAACAAAGATGAAATTAGCATAAGGTCTCAGCTAACCCCTCACAAGCAATTAGCTTCATAGGTATCAGACTCTAAATGGTCACTCAAAGACAGAAGGTTTTGCATAACAAGTTAAAAGACATACCAGATGACACACAGATTCATACTTGTTCAAGAAGAACAGAAGATTTCCAGTGAAATCTTTAAACATTTCGATTCGTTTTCGAAGGCTTATATTCCAGCACGGCTACGAATTACATCGAGACCCATCTCGGTCGGATCGGTTGCTTGCAGCTCTACTTGTATTCCATCAAGCTCTCTCTTAAATCTGTCCTTGGAGCTTGCATAGATCATCTTGCTTCTGACTCTTGAATTATCAGGAGACCTTCATTTAACAGTTCAATCAGTGATAAGATGAAGTATGCAATCATTGAATGGTTAAGAATTGGCATTACCATGCAATGAAGAAGATTCTGCTTTTTTGGCAATTTTCTTCGGTGACGAAGTCGAAATCATAGACAGCATAACGACACTCATCGGTAGGGAGACTAGCAGCAAAATCCTCGTAACTTTGGCTAGGCCCACCGAGTTTCTCCACAACTACTTGCTTTAGCTTCTCCTCGATCTTAAAGATAATGAAACGATGAGTTCTTTTCGACTTGAGCTCTAGAAACTTTAACTTGCATTCATCATTCACAGCCATTCCTGATGCTGCATTGGCCTACCAGATTCATGAAAGTATATTTTTTAAGCTAAGTTTGTAATATTTGATCACCTTTTAAAGTATCTTCTAACTTGAAGACAAGATTATGCAATAAAAGAGAAGGTTGACTGACACACAAAACACACACATTCATGTAACAATTCAATTCAAGCCTACCCATTACCTATCGCTCGTAACAACTCAAGCCTACCGCTAGTAGATATTATCCGGTTTAGCCCGTTACGTATCACTGAGAAGGTTGATTGACACCCAAAACACACACACTTCATGTGACAACTCAAGCCCACCGCCAATAGATATTGTCCACTTTAGCCCATTACGTATCGCCGCCAGCGATACGTAAGGGTGTGGATTGTGCGATCACACACAGGTTGGAGAAGGAAAGGAAGCATTCTATATAGTGACGATCACACGTATAAGAGTGTGGAAACCTTTCCCGTAGGTTTGAGAAGGAAAGGAGCATTCTATATAGTGACGATCACACATATAAGAGTGTGGAAACCTTTCCCATAGGTTGGAAAAGGAAAGGAAGCATTCTATATAGTGACGATCACACATATAAGAGTGTGGAATCCTTTCCCTACCAAGAGTGACGAAAATACGTAATGGGTCAAAGCATAGAATATCTACGAGTGGTGGGTGCCTCCTTGCAACAACAAAACTCCATACAACTTTGAAAGGAAGATTGAATCTAAAAGGGGGGAGGGGGGAAGTAAAATACTAAAAGGAGGACCCCTGTTCATCACAAGAGATAATTAAGATAAGAGCAATGGATACAGAACCAGATGGAAATTCTCCAGCTCGACCGATCATAAAACTAAACCATCCCATAGTTTCAAACATAAAATCATTCCAACACAAACCAGATCATATCCCAAGATCTCAGAGCAAAACATTACACACCAAAACAATTCATGAACTATTATTATAAATCAACCCAATCCAAACACATTCAAAAAATTCCAGTCAAGTCAGAACCACAGATCAAACACCAAATAGAACCAAAAGAGAAGCTAATCAACAAAGCCACATTTCCCAGAAACCCATTCCAGCAATTTCCCAGAACTTCCCCAGAAACAGAACAGGTCATTTAATCAAACACTTGGGAAGCTACAAATGAAGCAAATGAATCGAAGGGTTACCATTTTTTCTCCTCGGATGCTCGCGGAAGAACTCAAACAACAGTGAAATCGAAGAATGAAGAGAAGAGAGGAATGAATGAGTGAATGCGGGGGAAAGGTTATATTGGGTGGTTGGGAGTGGTAATTATGGTGGGAGTGATTCAAATAACAGAGGAGCGTATCGTGTTGGTGTAAACTGCAAAAACCCTGTTGGAGACGATGATGAGCTTCTCTTCCTTTTCTTGAAGTCGGCTCCAAGAAAAAGCCAGGTTAAACCTTTTTCTGTTTTCTTTTTTTTTTTAGGTCCCTTAAATTTTAAATAATAAATAATACAACCTCAAACTTTTTTTTTTAACCTAATATATCTCTTTTTTTTTTTTATAAATTGAAATTTTTTGTATAATAAAATTTTAAATTTTAATTATGTGTTTAATAAGAGCCTAATTTTTTTAAATGTAAAATTAGTAAAAAAATCTATAGATACAAATTTAAAAATTCAATAAACTATTATGAATTATATTAAATTTTAAAAAAAAATCAAAAATTTATTAAACGTTGAAAATTCAGAGAATTATTAGATATTTTTTAAAAATAAATTAGAAAAAATAAAATTGAGAAGAATTTAGATTAAAATTAAATTATAAGTTTAGTTTTTTAAGAAATTAAAATTTAAATTATACGTCTAAAATAACAATTAAATATAAAATTTTAAAAAAATTAACTACAAAATTAATTAAGATTTATAAATATAATTAGTCAGATTCGTGAATATTAAAAATATCAAATATGATTTATTAAATATAAAATTGAAAGTTATGAGATTTATCAAAGGAAATTATTTATATCAAAATTGAAAAAAATTAAAGAAATAATAGATATTTTTTAAAATTCACGCACTAAATAATTATAAATGTAATTTAATTAAAAAAAGTATATATTTTGGTCTTCGTATAATTTTCACTACATATATATATAATATTCGGCGGCTGAGCCAATTGAGCAGTGGCTCAGGCGCCGGCTTAGATATTTATTGGGCGTTGACAATATTAAGAAGTTTTGGATACTTTCTGTCGACTCCAACCTTTATTTAATTAATTAGTTTGAGAATTTTGAAAAATATAATTTAATAAATTCAGTGGGCCCACTCCCGCTCTATCGCCGCGTCAAACTAACGCTATCCCCTATTATTATATATATATATATCTAAATTATCAAAAAATATTTTCATTTTCAATTTTAAAATTTTGAAATTTGTTTCAAAATAAAGCAAATTTATAGGCAGAAAATGTAAATTTGATTACACACATATATGAAATAAACAAGTGTGATTGATACATGGGTTAGTTTTCAACCGATGTGTCCGAATAAACTAAAATGGTCAGATGTGTCTCGAGACATGGCACAACATCAGAAAGCATGAGTCATATTGTTGAAAATCGAGATGCGACATTGTTGTATCGAACGATTAAACACGCATGAACGTTTGTGACCAAACAAGCTTTGATTCTGCATAAGCGATATTTGATTAGCGAATGCAAACTTTGCCTATGGTCCGATGTAGCCACAAAGTTGGGCGAAAAATGAACATGAAGCTTGAATTCTCCTAAAGCTAGTCTACACGGTTGAAGATTGAGAACTGGAGAGTCATATCAAATCTTTTTGTAGTTAACGTTCCACTCTTATTCACTATTTTCTCATTTATTATCCCATTTATTTTAATTAGTGAGCAATGAAATCAGTCCAACATGAAATGAAAAGAATATGATTGGGCATAAATCAATATTTTAATTGTACATTTAAGTTAGTAATGTGGTAAAATTTCAGACATTTATGGTGAACAATAATGAAGTAGCAAATCTAGAAACAAATGGGGATAACATTTAAATTTTAAATTGGTGGGTTATTGACTATCCAATAACATCTTATGTGGACAACTTATTCCTGTGTCGGAGGGAACTCATGTTCAATATAAAAGAAAAAAGAAGACCAAGAGAGAGCCACGCCTTGAAAGAGAAAAAAGAAGACCAACGGGAGCCACACTTTGAGAGAGAAAAATCAGATTAGACAGTAGAGCCTCTGCTGTTACCTGCTATGAAACTAGAGAAGAAGAAGAAAAATCCTAAACCAACTGCTGTTGACAGCAGAAGGAAGAAAAGACCAAGAAGGATAGATTAGGGCAAAGAGGTGGACGTGAGAACTCAAGGGAAGAGAACTTCCATCAAAGAACAGCAACAAAGCTGGATAACTCTCTATTCCCTTGCTCTTTTTTCTTATTCTATCAATTTTATAGGATTAAAACGTGGGTTCCTCTGTTTAATTTGGTTTGTATGGAGAGCTAAACTTTATAGAAGAGGCGAGAGAATTTTATATAGTCTAAGTATGTTGATGGTATGATTTTGGTTTATTAAAAAGTTGTGGTTAATGATTCACATGTGTGTTTCATTAGCTAATTAGCTACTTTACTTACATAGTTGTTCTCTTATTCGAGAGAGAGTGAGCAACGAAATCCTCTTTAATACTTTAGTTCCACTGCAGACTTGGAAAGCAATAAAAAGGTTAGAAATAATTCTAATAGAAATTAAAAATGATTATTTGTTAATAGAAATTAAGAATCATTACGGAAATAATCAACCTCTGGGCTTGAGAATCTATTAACACAAACTAAAACCTACCTCATTATTGTTAATTTCCTCCGTCACCTAATTTCCAAAAATTCACTTTAAATGTTACTAAAAAAAACTCACCTAATTTAATTTCCATTATTGTTAATTTTTTGTCACCTAATTTTCAAAAATTCACTTAAATATTACCCAAAAACTCACATAATTTCCAACGATAAAATTAACAAAAAAGTAAAAAGGTTATCGTGAAATCGATAATTTATTTATTAGTTACGAGTTTTAATAGTGTATACTTGATACGAATTTTTGCAATCTTCCTCTTTCAACTCTCAATTCCCAAATTTTTTTTCTTAGGTTTATGTATCTTTTTCTTATTTTATAAATTTAATTATTTTCTCGTCCCAGTGAATTGACTACAATCATCTCCAATCTCATTCCACTGTGGCTTGAGAATCAAGCCAATCGGTAATCCATCTTAAACACGAACCATGATGAACTGTTTGATCTGTTTTGGAAAGTCCCATTCCAACAGATGAGAAACTCCGAGAAGCCTTTTTAAAACTATTTCATTTTTTTGCATTTTTAAAAATTCAAGGACATTAGGATGGGAAAGTACAAAGTTTGGGACATTTTTATTAATTTAAACAAAAGGAAATGCAAACTTAAAATTTAATATATTAGTTTATACTAAGAAACACACACACACATATAAAGAGAATCACTTGAAGTCGGTATCATTGCTCCCCGTGTCGGGAACAAAAAGCAAAAAAGACCTGATAAGGAACAATGATCATGGATCCCACCAGGTCTAGTACAGTAGAAGTGTAGATTCATTACAATAGACTTTTCAAAAAAAGAAAAAAAATCAAAAAATATAGCCATTACCCTAACGCTAGTACGATCGCTGTGTAACATTTCGATCCAATTCTTGATACAACCATTTAATGGCATTATCGTTTCCCGAACATAACACGGTGTAAATTCAAGTATGAAAGCATATTAACAAACCACAGACAGGAAAATCTTGCCTTGGAAACAAAACCATTTCAATGAAGGCTTTTCCCAATGTGTGTGATATGAATGCAATCACGGGTGCCAATTGCTTGGCGGACACCTACCGCCTCAAGCTCTCCACTATGTAGTCTGCATAGAGGTCCCTGCATAAAAAACAGAACAAATACAATCCTTCATCAGTTCAAAGCTGGCTATTGGTACCAGCAAAAAATTATAGATAAGGGAAAATTAGAGTAACCATTGCTTACATTGAGTGTTGTACGGCGTTGAAGGCCTCAGCGGCTGGCAGAAAGTCATTCACAGCTACCTCTTTGTTCTCATTCTTCTTGTCTGAATTGGTTTGTCAAGAAACACTACAAATTGAGAATAAAAAGATATAGGGACGATCGATTAGGATGACACTGTAAGTTGGTTTTCGCTGATGATGTTAGAAATGATCAAACTAATTTTTAGGATACAGTCTTCAAAGAAGCGACGAATCTCAGCCAATCGATGCGGTGGGAGCTCCTTGATGTCGTTGTAGTGACGGTATTCGGGATCATCGGCACAAACAGCTATAATCTTGTCATCTTTTTCACCCTGAGTTAATTAATGATTAGAACTCTCTTTTATTTAAGAACAAAAGATGGCATTTATTCGAGAGGAGTTACCTGGTCAATCATAGGCATAAGGCCTATTGCTTTAGCCCTCAGAAAACATCCAGGAAGAACTGGCTCCTGGAAATATTTCAGAACAACATCAGGTAAGATGTGCGCCGATATTTTTAAAAATACAACTTTCATTAAACAATTAATTGTTGTTGTACCTGCATGATGACCAAGACATCTATGGGATCGTTGTCCTCGCAAAGAGTCCGCGGAATGAAGCCATAGTTATGTGGGTACACAACAGATGAGTAAAGAATCCGATCAACCTGAATAAACATGGGCCTTTTATCCAACTGATGACGGATAAAATCCACCAAAAAAAACAAGTGATTAGCTTATAATTACCTTAATCAGACCAGTTTTTTTGTCAAGTTCATACTTCACTTTGCTTCCTTTTCCTATTTCAACTACCTGCATGATGAAAATTAATCAAGATTCAATTTATGCATCAACATTCATCGTTAAAATTTTGGTGAAACTTCAAAATTCTAAGTTGCTGAAGTGCTAATATATAAAGAAGAAAATAGGATAACAATTAAGAATACTCATCCGCCAACATTCAACATCAATCCGCGACTGTAAAAAGTTACTATGGTTCAAACCTGATGGCATTATCATGAACTTATATCACATCTAATACAACCATCTTTAAAAAAAAAAAAAAAAAACATATATGATATTATGGAATTCAGAACAGCATCCTTACACAGTTGAAAATCTTTGGAGCATCAGGTCCTGAAAAAGAATTAAAAATTTGTTTATCAGTAGATCATTCTAGCTATAAAATCTCCTCCACATAAAAGGTACATAAATGACAGTGAGGTATAACGCATGCCTATTTCAAGATCATGCCAAGGATGTGCAGCAACAGATCTCCTAGTCATTGATGAAAGTATTCTCTCATTCAGTGGTGGGTATGGAGAAGGACGAGCATTGATGGTTGTTCCATTTGAAGGAGCCATAAGAGCAAGCTGGAAGTGAAAGCAGCTAATCAGAACATCTACTCTCAAAAGAAAGTTCAATTTGAGGGTATCGTAAGACACTAAAATACACACTTCCAAGCATCTTAACCAAGGCCCAAATCTTTCAACATCATTTCACATCAATACTTATAGGACTATTACAATCACAAAACGGAAAATTTATGCCTAAAGGATGTAACAAGAACCTTACGTCATCAAGCTTATACTGAACCTTATCATAAATAGATAAATGAATAAAGTTAAAATTAAGACTGAACATATCTAAAAACAACTGACTGGCATATGAAAGAAAATGGTGCAAGGAAAAGATCGATCTCTAATATATGTATGGAGCTCTCTCGACAATAAATAAATAAATAAAGAAACGTAATCGCAAGTGCCCATTTAAAACATTAAACATCAAATGCGATCCAAGAGCTCATGCAACCTGTACAACTTTGGAAAGTCAAGACAATTGCACCGTATTTCTCGTACTTCTCCACAGGTTTATCAGATTCAACCAGTCAACATACTCTAATCAGAGAAGAATAGAGTATTAACATACATTGCAACATCAACTTGCACTTTCATGGGTAAGAAATCAAGATCTATAACTGTGAAAAGAACAACCAAAACAAAAGTCCAGGCAGAGGCATTCAAAAGCAACACAAAATACGCAGTCACATGTCTTCTTCGCAGATTTTATACATTCACAAATGCAGACACTGGTTGTTCCGATTCAGAAACTAATGGGCATCATCACGATTGTCATTGATCGATAACCAAAACATCAACAACAATTCCATCAACTTCACATATCTTTAACAAAACGCATGTGACAATTGACATTGCCCAAGGAATAAGATAGGTCCCAAATATTGATTTTAGAAAGAGATTAGAAACGACAGATCCAAAGACCGCATGCTTCTTGACTAGACTACTACGTCCACTCATCCATATCAATATTCATAACTTCGAGATACGAAAAATATCCGTCAAGCGTTCACGTATGAATTCATTTTCTCTTCTCTCTCCCTACGTCTCTCTTTTGGACTATCTGCTTACGTTCTCTTTAGTTTCCACATCTCTGCCTCTTTATTCGGGTAGGCATGTAACGGAGGAACAGAAATCAACGTTTTCGTCACAACGCCTCTTATAACCACAGATTCACAGTGCTTTCATAAGCAGATTAACGGCAAAAAATTAGAGCAAAAAATCTAAACAAACAACGATCTCCTGGATCTAACATACCAGCATCTGCCATGTAAATGATGTAGAATGAAGACAGACATATTTCATAGAAAATAGATTCATAAATCACAACATAGTTCCAAGCCAGTCAAAATCACCCATTCGCTCCGTAACTCAAAAAAAAACTGACAAGAAAAAGCAGATAGCAAACAGATAATATAAAACAAACAAGATTCAAAACACCTTCCAGAGTGGATCTCCGCGAACGCAGAGATATCCAGAAACAAAAACTGATCAAACAAAAACCAAAAAACAAGAAACCGAAACTGAAAGCTCGAGAGATCAAAGATCTGGAGCTCAAAAATCGAACCTGAAAGCTTCAAAGGAGAAATGGAGAGCAAAAACCGAATCGCAGATCTCAATGCAAGAGATTGAGGATGAAGGAAGAAACGGCACGAAATGCTCTGCACCAGAGAAAGCAATGAGGAGCTGTACGTTACACGTTCCCGCTCTCTTCCTCTTGCACCATTTTAAAGGAAACGAAAGCGAAGAGAGAGGGGCGAGAGCAGACAAAAGTAAAAATCCTCCGGTTTCTTTTAGCGCATTAAAAAAATTAAAATTAAAAGAATAATAAATAAATAAAAGGAAAAAAAAAATGCGTATATTCGGGGAAGCAAGTCTATCGTGTTGCTGTTTGTGAGTCAGTACACGTCATTTCGTTCCGGTGAGTCAGCTGGAACCCACTAAGAAAACGGAGACGGAGTTTCCTTTTCTTAATTAACGCCCATTCGGTGCGGTTTGATTGGATTGATCAAATGGCGTTACCGTTATCTTATCGTTAGCCAAGCTGATAAGGAGAGGAGTCATTATGACGTGTTTGGTTGAAAATTCATCGTTTTATCTCTTTTTCTTCCCATTTTCTCGGTCTTTTTTTCCTTCGTTTTATTTTATTAAATATTTTAAATTTTAATTAAGTTCAACCATTACTAAATATAGATTATTTTAATTAATATCTTATTACTGAGTTACCAAAAATGGACTCAAAAAATAAAATATTATATTTATATTACATTAATCGAAATTAATATGAATATAGGCATGACTCAGCTATATAAAATATCTACATTCCACGAATAAATCAAAACAAAGAAATTAACTATAAAATCCAATGACAATTAAAAAATTTAAAAGCAAAAATAAATATGTAATTCAATTTTTTTTATTATATTTATAAAAAAAGAAAAAAAATTAACGGTGCTTCGGTGGACGGTCACACGTGTGCAGAGGTGCAATCGCATAAAAACTAAGCTGGCAAATCGGCGGTTGTTTAGGCGACAATGGACGTCTCCTCCGACACCGACTTTTAAATTAGAATAATTCAATTTTAAATAATTGATTTTTCCACGTGGATCCTTTGTTAACCAATTTATAATTGTTTTTTTTTACATATATTTATTACTTATCCAACATTTTTTTTTAAAGGTGAGCCTAAGTAATAATTAACATATATTATTTTTTAAAATTTCTTAAATTTATTTATCGTACTAAAAACAATAATAATTCAATTTTGCACCTTTAATTACATTATTCTCGTGACATATTTTACGAAATAGCATCAAAATGGACGGACACAAATGGAAGAAATAAGGGGAGGGAGTGACCAAAAGCGTAAAAAATACAAAAGATTTACGTGGCTCGCCTGTCCTCGTAGATGATGCAATTATTTAGTTCTTTATGCACTTAATGTGAGCTAAGCTTTATCGTATCACATGTTTGATTTAACCTATTTTGAAAAGAAAATAAGATGGCGGGCCACATCATGTCGAACAATTAATCGTACCTATCAAACAAAATATTAATTTATGTTTTTATTTGATAACAAAAATTATATTTTTATTCGATATCTTAACAACTTATATTAGATGATTTTATTTATTATACTCTTTAATTTAACGGAATAGACTAACACAAAAAATACATGTGTTGACTCGAGTCCAAATGCAAGGTTGTTAATATGTCGAATTAGTACCCTTAATATGCCTTGTTCTTTCGGAGGTCAAAAGGCTAGTGGGGATAGAATGGGTTCCTTGGGACGAAGAGGAACCAATGGTTTTTAGGGCATTCGGTACAATATGATCCATATTCTAATTAAAGGATTGAAAACTTTAGTAATTTAGGTTCGAGTTTCGAAGTTTGAGGATAGACGAGTTTAATCAACTAAACAAACGTTAGATTTTTAAGGTTTCGTTTGATAATCGTACTTTTTTTTTCATACATATTGATGTTTCTTCGTATTTAGAATTTTTAGAAAATATTTAAATAAAAAAAAAGTTTTTTTTTAATTTTATTTTGAAAATATTGTTAGGAAAAAAGATAATAATAAAAATAAATAAATAATAAAAATATTGTTTATAAGGCTATGAATGACGTTCTTTTTATATATCTTTTTGTAATAAAAAAGAATGTAAATATCCTTTAATATCTCATCCACCAACAACGAATGAATGAACTAACAATTAAAAGAAAAACGGCGTCGTCTCTTATTATATTTAATTCAGTTAATATTGTGAAATAGAAAATGAGAATACTGGGCAAAAAAATAATTAAGGTAACTGTACGATGACAACTCAACACGCAAAATAAAATAAATACAAAACTTTAATACGTGGCAATTTCTTTTTTACTTAAAAAATGGTCACAAATTCCTCTTACAAAAAAGAATAATAATAATAATAATAATAATAATAAATAATATATATATATATAAAAATTAAGATTAGATGTGAGGACACTAGAAGACATAACAAAATACCATATTGTAAATTTAGCAACCATTTTTATCTTTTTCAAATGCAGTAAGTAATCATTATTTACTTCGTGTATATCACAAATACAGCAAATAATCATTATTCATCTCGTATATATCACTGGTCAACGCAATAAGTTAGATATAACAACAATGCATTAACATTTATTAATTTAATATATAAATAACGAATATCATTTTCATATAAAAAAAAATAAACGAGAGGTAAAATTGCAATTTTAAGTTAAAATATTTTGTTACGATTACAAAACTCAAAATTATAAAAATTACGAATTTCGAACCTTTAGAATCGTGATATTAAAGTAGGAAGTCTACCGAATTGTATCCTAAAATTTAGAAATTAATATTAAATCATTATATTTTATTTTGAACGCAGTGTAATATATATTAATTATGATAATATATATATATATATATATATATATATATATATATATATATATATTAATTGTTAGAGATATTGATTGGGTGACACGTTGGAAAATAAAAATGCCTCTTTTATTATCATATATTAATAATAGATAAATGGGAAGAATTCTAAAGTCGTCCCGCCTTAATTTATTATTAATATTATTACCAATTCAAAATAATCTTATTTAATATTTTTCAAAATTAAACAAGAAATAAAAAATAAAAATTATCCTAAAGTCTTATCAAAATTTGCTCATTTGAAGTTGACACGCGTATGCCGTATGCAATCGCGATTTCACCTGTTTGCGGGAAAAATGAAGCTACTTAGAAAACGACGTCGTCTCTCAAGTTCCTTTCTACCGTTTTCTCACTATCATCCGTTAGATCAACCGAGAACTCGATGTTATTTTAATCCAACGGCTAAGGCGTTTAGTACACCGTATAATACGTGCACCCGCTCGCATAGAGACCCTTGCCGAGTCTAAAATTTCAACGGCCGCCCAGTGCTGGCGTTACACGAGACGATTTCCCTCTTCTATTCTCCTCTCTACTTTGTCTCAGATCTTAAATTCATCCATTCTCCTTTGATCCGGTAATTTTAATTTAAGAAAAAAAAGAGAAAATTATAGAAATTAAACGAAATCAATTTTTTGTTTGGTTTCTGTTCTTAGATTTGTTTCCTTTTCTTTGGTGTGTGATCTTTCACTTTTGTTCCAGTATTTCTCTCTAGGGTTTGATTTCTGGTCTCCCTTGCGATTTTGTTCCATAGATGGCTGCTCCACCAGCAAGGGCTCGAGCCGATTATGATTATCTCATAAAGCTCCTCCTGATCGGTGATAGCGGTATGTGAATTTCTCACTCTTTCACCTCATTATTCCATTTCTGTCTCCGTTTTTTTTTTTTTATAGATTTTATATTTGATCTTCTCGATTTAGTTGTTCTTCCACCGTTGAGCTACTCGGAATGTAAATTGTTTAATTTAATAATCTTTGATTCGTGACCATTATCAATATGTTTCTAGATTTACGGTAAAATCTGCATTTTAGTACTTGTTTGAGCCTGGCATTTCTTGGAATGTTTGGAATTTATTTCTTGTTGACTTCGTTTTTGCGTCATATGCGTAACGCATTTTGCTGGATTTTTCTAAGGATCCTTTAGGACATTGGCTCTATCTAAGATAGCTACTGTTGGATTACATTTAAAATAGGCTGTAATTTGGTTTGATAATGTAAAATGGTGTTTGATGACGTTGCTTCAATATTTTTTGAATCCGCGTGGTGCTTGCAATCCATTGCGAGAGCATATGCTGCAAATTTTATGTTTGTCTGGAATGGAGTATTTCTTCATGGTTTGATATAACCTTTCCAGGTGTGGGGAAGAGTTGCCTTCTCTTGCGTTTCTCGGATGGTTCCTTTACTACAAGTTTCATCACAACCATTGGGTAGGTGCTTGTTAAACTACAACTTGTATGAGTATGTGGTTTTCCCACATTATTCTTGATTGAGTAGGCTGAACGTTCTTCGACAGCATTGATTTTAAGATAAGGACCATAGAGCTGGATGGAAAAAGGATCAAGCTACAAATTTGGGATACTGCTGGACAGGAGCGGTTCAGAACAATTACTACTGGTTAGTGTCTAAAGTTCGTAATTTATTATCTTGTGCTGTTGTTGTGATGTGCATGGGGTGGTTGACGTTTCTAGGATAGTGGCCTAGGCATATGTGTTATTCTTTAAAAATTGTCTTAGGTTGGGCTAAAAGGTCTCGATATCTTTTATCAGTATTTGACATCTCCAAGTTTATAGGATCAAGCATGTTTATCTATTGACTTGTACCTACTATGTTAATCAATTGGTCAAGTTAATTGAAACCTCCCTTACAATAGGTTTGAGGTTCAAATTCCCACTCCATTTGAATTTTTTGTAAAAAAAAAGGAACTGTTAAATTTGGATCCTTTCTTATTAGGTATTTTGACTAGTTTGCGTGTTGAGACCTTGATTCCTTGCTGTCTAACAAATTTTAGTTTTTGAGGTCCCATTGTCATATGGGCTCAGATAAATAGATAAACATTTGATATTTTAGTTTTAAGAAAAAAAATGCAAGAATCACCATTGAACTATAACATTGATGCCTTGCCTCTTACCTTATTCCAATGTTTTTGACTGAATTCGTATAATTTAACCATTGCCTTACCTATCTCAAAAGATCTTCATAGCCCATGTAAAGAGTCCAGCCAATTGTTCTTGATTTGGGCGGTTGATAAGTATGCTCGATATGAGAGTGGTGGACAACTTCCTACTTTATAACTCATTGCTCATTCTTTGACGACTTATGCCAATTCTATAGACCACACTCTTTGATGGAGCCAATCCAAAAAACGAATGGGACCTTGATTAATTAGTTATTTAACTATATTTTATTGTTACAATTTTTTTTCTTTGGTAAATTAATAATTATTTTCAAGTATACACTGCACATTAAGTATGATTTAGATTGTCCAATTATCAATGGTATTTTAGTTCTCAGATTTAAAATAATATTTTAGTTTGCAAATTTTCCTGGATATAAAAGTGGAGTATAGTTGCACAAATTCTAAGTTCTCAAGGATTTAAATATAAGAACCTCTGTAACTTAGAAATGATTTGTGCATTTTTTGAGCTGCCACTTATAGATTTTTAAGTGATAGGACTTAATTGCAACAGTTTTGCAAGTTTTGGGATACGTAAACCCATATAACTCAGGTTTATTTTTTGGATTTTCCCCCAAGTTTAACTGATTCTGCGCTTTCTTATCCTCTGCAGCTTACTATCGTGGAGCCATGGGTATTTTGCTTGTGTACGATGTAACTGATGAGTCCTCCTTTAACAGTGATGTTTCCCTACCCTCTTTTAGCTTCAGTTGTTATTGTCTTTTACCACTCCATGTATTGAAGTTTTATTTTGGGAATAAATCTCTGTAGACGATGAATCTTCTTAGCTTCTCGAAGCATTATGAACTAAGCTGATTTCTTTCTGCAGACATTAGGAACTGGATTCGTAACATTGAACAACATGCTTCAGACAATGTTAACAAAATTCTGGTCGGTAACAAAGCTGACATGGATGAGAGCAAAAGGGTACCCTCTCTCTTTTTCTCTCTATCGGTTTTCCTGTCTGTATTTTTCAGGTGACATGTTTTTGACAAGAATTTTTTTTTTCAGGCTGTTCCCACCTCAAAGGGTCAAGCTCTTGCAGATGAATATGGCATCAGGTTCTTTGAGACTGTGAGTTACACGTCTTGGCTTGGGAAATTATGATATGATGTCTGGTGGACATTCTATTCTAAAGATCTTGTGTTTTACAGAGTGCTAAGACGAACTTAAACGTGGAAGAAGTTTTCTTCTCAATAGCTAGAGATATTAAACAAAGACTCGCTGATACTGATTCAAAAGCCGAGGTATAGACTCTTAAATCACTAGGTTGAAAACTGCTTTCGGTTTCTGTGATCAGAGTAGTGCGAATTCCGAAAAAAAATATTTTTATGTTTTCAATGTATCTAGATTTAGAGAATTGAAAATTTAAAATACAGATTTATATTACAAAAAATCAAAAGTTAAATAAATATAGCATTTCATGCTATAACTCAATTTATTTTGGGTAAATTAAAATATGTATGATATAATATATTATAAATTATATGATATTGTAAAATAATAATTATGCAAAATTTTGACATAAAACATTTTCATAAATTAATTATTAGTAATTTATATTCAACCTAATATTTAGTGCTATATCAAACACATTTTGAAAACTTGCTTAAATTAGAATCCAATTTCTAAGTTTGCTACCCAACGCATATTTGAAAACATGAAAATACAACCATGTTTCTTTGCTTATCTTGTTTTCAAAATTCTATTTTTGGATTTCCTATCAAATAGACCCTTAATTATTGTTTTCTGGGTAAAAAAGTATCCCGCCAATTGCATTACTTTCTCGTTTGCTTCATATATATTTTTTTTCACTGATGTGTTTGTGTTTTATAGTGCCTTGTGATTTTGTAAGTTTGCATAGTACATGCTTTAATTTAGTGGCATTCTTTCCATGTGATTGATATATACTCTACTTTTGGATGTCGCAGCCTCAGACAATCAAGATTAATCAACCAGATCAGGGTGCAGGGGCTGCTCAAGCTGCTCAAAGATCAGCATGCTGCGGTTCTTAAGCAAGTTACGTCGATGGGATCTCAAGGGTACATTCTTAAGGAACCATTTGTGGAAACTATCGATGGGTCCTGCTACAACTATATCAGTGCTGCTTGTATCAGTTCTCATTATCATATTTTTTTCCCAACTTGTGCTAATCTGAGTGTGAATGACAACAGACAGATATCCTTATTTGAGAAAATTAATTATATATTAGTTGATTTTCTACAAACAGCCGACTTCATTCTTCATCGAACTTTATTTGATCCAGCTTGGTAAAGAAATAGCAGGTCATATTTGAAATGAAAGGCTTGCTCTGTGGTGATTACTGTTGGATGACCACGCTCCTCGAGTAAGCCTGAGCTGCTGCTTTTACTTCTGTCATCTGTCTCTGTTTTCTCCAGGACATTAATTTCTATTAGCCTCATAGTCCAATATCTGTGCTTTAGCTTGTTCTCGCAGCTTTGCTTAATGCGCACAGTGAGCCCACGCGGTCTCTCATTCTCGGCCAATGGCGAGCTCATATGATTGCCGGCAAATGGAACTGGTCCACCTCATCACAGCAGGTGCTATTGTCCCTATCTTATTACATTTGCATAACATCCATGTTTTCCTCTTCCGCACCACACTCACTTTCTTGTTTTGGAATAGCCTGGAATCACCGTAGAAATTGGCTGGGACCTCTTAAGTTTTTCCCATATGCACAAATCAATCATTATCTTCTGTTGTTTATTTGAAAATCATTTTGTTCTTGTCTGATGGATTGGATCAAATCTTCTCCATAATGGATTGCTGAGTTCGTAAAACATTATCAAAATCATTTGGGAAATGCATATCATTGTCTCATTAAGACGACATAGTTTGACTATGCAGAAATTTCACATCACTGTGCTCTCAAATCATAGTCTTGTCTGTGTTTAGTATTATTAGGAGGATCCACTGCTTTATACCCACCTGAAAAAAATTATAATATTACCTACGCTTACATAATAGTAGGTCTATGTAAAAAATCAATATATCATTTAGTGAAGTGTCAAAATAGAACTTTATCGTTACGGACCAAAATTATAGTTTAAACATTATGAACTCGAACTTAAGCCTCAAATTAAGAACACCAATGAGCTGTTGGTGAAGTAGGGAAGTACAATGTTAAGATTTTTAATATCTCCTTCGATATCTTTGATTTTCTTTTTGCATTCATGCATCACTCTTTTAAAAAGAAAAATTAGGAATGCTTTGAGAGCATGTTACAATTAGATTATGTCCAGCCCAAGATATGTTAGCATGTGCATCTTGTGGTGTCTCTCCTTTGGACATGATTGATTCTTAGTACACTTTCCTTTTTATTCTTAAATAACAATAATTGCAATTTGAGAATTGAGGTGTTATTGCACTCTGTTTAATTTCAAAATTTAATCATAACTTACTCTTCAAAACTGCCACTTTCGACCCGATTATTAAGTGGTTCTATTTCTGTTTCTTAGATCCTAAGAAAAGATGTTTGATTAATGGTGTTTTGAAAGTGGATAACATGCATTATAGCTTAGTCAAACCTATGTTTGGTTGACAAATTCGTACGCGTAAATTTACTATCGTACATCGTATTATACTTCCAAAGTGTGTCATAATAATTTATCCATACCTATACCTTCTAACATAATCTATTTGACATGAGTCACGATCCACCAACAAATATCAAAACAATTGGATTTCTTGCCCAATAAAATAAAGAATGGAAGAAGACTAAGGTCAATTCTTATCATCCACATAAAAAAAAAAGCTATTTTTTTAATTACAAATAATAATTTTTTTTTTTTAAAAAAAAGGTAGAAAGATTGTAAAAGTGATTACTCAATAGGCTGAATTGTGAGATGGGAGAAGCACTGAGATCAGTAGTGGAAAGCCAAAAACGTCAGATTACATTACAATTTACACCCAACCAACCAACCAACCACGCCGCCTGCTTCACCATAGACACAGCAGAATTGTACTTGGTTGGATCTTGGTCCCCTTCGAATAAGACTCGAAATCTAAAAACTCTTATGGATATGTATCGGTGTTAAAACTCTAAAATGAAGACGATTTAATCTATAAGATAGTTTGATTAAGACTACTTGAATGACTCGCGAGCATACAAAAAAATATAAAGAAACAAGCTTTTAACTTGAAAAAAATATAATTTGTAATTTCAATTTTAATATTCAAAAGGACTGAAATCATAATTATATAAACTATTTATATTTTTTATAATAAATCTTAGAGTAACTATACTTACATAAAAAGTTTGTAACTTTCATGTGCATTAATATATCATGAAATGTCCCTAAATTTGAGAACTAATATTTTAATAAGTGAACTACCAATCAAAAGTAATTAAAACTTTTGCTAGAATTCACTCACTCTAAATCTTTTATTATTTATTTTTTAAAATAATAAATATATATCAACAAAAACATTTATTCCAATAAAATATTTACAACTATATACAATTATATACTCACTCTAACCATTTTATTTATTATATAGAAAAAAAGATAAGTGGATAAAAAATAATAACAAATGTCCAATTTGATATAAGAAATATCATAGAATGGAATTAAAATATAAAAATGGAACTAAAATAAGAACACTCTTCGGGGGATAAAGTCCTTAAGAATATTATTAAAAATAAATAAATAAAAACCCAACTTAGAATGGAATTAAAATATAAAAATGGAGAAGATTTTATCCCCCAAAGAAAAAGAAAAAAAGTAATCTCAGGATTATATTGTATGGAATAAGCTGTCAAGTACGAGGGGGTTCCTCTAAAGAATCAATGCCTATCCAATTCTCCCACGTCAATGGATTCTGTTTTACGCTGCTTGTCATCTTCCACCCACGCTCTCCCGAGAATGCGAAGTAGAGTGTAACAACCCAAACTCATCGCTAGAAGATATTGTTCGTTTTGGCCCTACATATCGCCAACAGCCTCACGGTTTAGAAACACGTCTAATAGGGAGAAGTTTCCAAACCCTTATAAAGGATGCTTCGCTGCCTTCTCCAACCGATGTGGGATCTCACAATCCACTCCTTTCGGAGCCTAGCGTCCTCATTGGCACACCGTATGGTATCTGGCTCTAATACCATTTGTAACAGTCCAAACCCACTGCTAGTATGATCTATTACGTATTACCGTCAGTCTTACGATTTTAAAACGCATCTACTAAGGAGAGGTTTCCACACCCTTAAAAAGAATGCTTCGTTCTCCTCTTCAACAGATGTAGGATCTTTCACCGACCTTATCTTATCCACTAATTTCTCTCTTAATTTTGCTGTCGTTGGCTGTTTCTTTCCCACCTGGGTAGAGAGAGAGAAAATGGTGTCTGACATAAGTAAGAGGTTAAAAACAAATCATATAACAAACATATTTACATTTCCAATTGATGGGTCCATGAAAGAACCATTATCTAAAAAAGTATGAATCTAATGGGTTCCAGATTGGATATGGATTCCTACACAGACATATAAAAAACATCAACATTTGGATCAGTCTAATTAGTGGCTGATGCAACACAAAAGCACAATCCAGCAAATCACCAAAGTGAAAAAGTTGTAATGCAGAAGTGAGATTTTTCGTCGAAAGACGTTTAAGTTTTTTTTTCATGGTTTCATCGTTACGATCTAATTGATTTGAAGTTTTAATCCATCATTTTAATCTTCTTACTTAGGAGGTCGTGTGTTTGGTGCGTTTTATAACATTGGATGTAAGAGAGAGAGCAATGCATCAAAGGTTTCGTAGCTACTACCTTAAATGATTACCTAGGAGACCGACTGTAACTTCTACGGTTTATCCCAAGATCAGATCTCATGTTTATAGACTTGAATGTATTTGAACTGTAAAAAAGTTCAATTCAATCCATCAAGAGATGAAACAGCCAAAATTCACTGTTAGTAGATATTGTTTGTTTTGGCCCGGTACGTATCAGCGTCAGCCTCACAATTTTAAAACGCGTCTACTAGGGAGAGGTTTCCACACCCTTATAAGGAATGCTTCGTTCCCCTCCAACCCATGTGGGATCTCACAATCCACCCTGCTTGGGGGCCCGCGTCCTGACTGGCACACCGCCTAGTGATTGACTCTGATATCATTTATAACCGTCCAAGCGCACCACTAGTAGATATTGTCCGCTTTGGCCCATTATGTATCATCATCAACCTCACAGTTTTAAAATGCGTCTATTAGGGAGAAGTTTCCACACTCTTATAAAGAATGTTTCATTCCCCTCCAACCCATGTGGGATCTCACAATCCACACTCCTTAGGGGCCTGCGTCCTCACTGGCATACCGTCCGGTGATTGACTCTGATACCATTTGTAACCGTCCAAGCTCACCATTAGTAGATATTGTCCGATTTGGCCCATTATATATCACAGTCAGTCTCACAATTTTAAAATGCGTTTATTAGGGAGAGGTTTTCACACTCTTATAAGAAATGTTGCGTTCCCCTCTCCAGTTCCCCTCTCCAACTGACGTGAGATCCCATTAAGAGAGGAGCTTTCAAATCAGTCTATTGAGAGAGATTTTTTGTCAAGAGATTACTGGCTATAAGGGCTATTGATTGATTCTAAGGGTCCTTTAAGTTTGAACCATATGATATCAAGCCAGTTACTTTGCCAGGACCAATAGTCTTAGTCATGCCTCATGCATTATTAAAGCAAGATCAAGAAAGCTATAAAGGTGAAATAATTTGAGGGGAGATTGACCAAAGAATTGGCATTTCTCCAATCAGAACTGAGAAAAATGAATAAAAGAAAAAAAAAAAAAAAAAAAAGATGAACAAAGATGAAAAAGTTCCTCTTTTCCTTAACCATTCCAAATGTAATCCTCAACAAACAGAAAGTAATTCAAAAGTTATGGTCAAAAGCCTTTTATTGCCAGATGCATTCCCTTATCAAAAGGATGTTGCCTTCAAGAGAAAAAACACTGCACTTTATATTCATGTTTATTAACCATACAAGAATCGTTTTCTATTGCTTTTTAAATATGGTACCTTTTGAAGTGCAGAACAAATATCAAGATGAAAAAACAAAACTCATTAAGAGATGAAACATGCTGGCGTTATTGTCCTCTTTGGGCTTCTCCTCAAGGTTTTTAAAACGCGTTTTCTAGGGAGAGGTTTCCACACCCTTATAAAGAATGCTTCGTTCTCCTCTCCAATCGATGTAGGATCTCACACATTTCCTACCGTTTTCTTAAAACTGATGCAAAAACGAGATAGATGATGTTACAAACAAACAGCCCATGCAGGAAATGGTGAAAACGTAAAAAGTGAACCACAGCCCATACTTCAATCCCATAAAGAAAGGCTTAAAGAGAGAGAGAGAGAACTTTGAAGCAAACGAATATGGTAGCATGCACTATCTTGTAATCTTTCAAGTAACGGATTGGGAAGGACAAGGAAAAGAAAAGGCCTAAAAGATATTCCAGGAAGTGAGCATCCATAAAGGAAAACTCTAGTTAGAAATATGTCATAGATATTCCACTTGATCCAAATGGTTACATGATATAACTACAAATTAAGGGTTTAAGCTAATTTTCGATATGGTTGACAAGTTCATCCCTAATTATCGAATTAGAAATTTAATGAAATCAAACGTATAGAACAAGACCCCAAAGATGTGGCTTAATTGGTATGAACTTGGGATGTCTAGGGATACCGTTGAAATATTGATATATAACATGACATCAAGAGGTCCCATATTCAAACTATCTTGTAATGCGAGTTCCTCTCCAACTTATATTGATTTTCACTCGTTGGGTATTCTCCAAAATTTCAAGCCCACGAGCCGGGGAGAGTATTAAAGTACTGAAATAATTAAATTTAACGTAAACCATCGACTTAAATTTTTGGGTTGATTGGTGATTTACTCTTCAAGATTTTGGGTTCAAACCCCTTTGTGAAAAGCTTAACAGTTTAGTCCTTGTGGTCCTGTAAAGCGGATTTTAGGATGAACAAAATCTACCATAGAGTAGGACCTTGATCATTAAAAGTGTGAGAACTCACAACAGTTGGAGAGGGGAACGAAACATTCCTTATAACAGTGTGGAAATCTTTCCCTAACAAACGCGTTTTAAAACCGGGCTGTTACAAAAAGATGTATACATAGAAAAAGTAATTCTTTGATATTCTCTATGGATTCTGGGCTAGGTACCTAAGTTAGTAACTAGCATGGTGGGGGAAAGCCTAACACAAAGAGTATTGAACCTTAATAAAAGCATTGGGTGTAGGCTTAATATTGAACACCGCTTCTCAATATGAAATCAATTACTTAAAAGACACACGCCAAGAGAAAGAGATTGATATACTGCGTTGCGAAGAGAGATCGAAGATGCACGGGATGCAAAACTCACAACTTAGTACACACATATGAAGGACATGGAAAAGAAAATTCTTGAAAGAGTAATCTGGAGATTTTATCCACACACATATACATAGTGCACTAAATAAAGTTCATTTTGTGTAATAATCAAATAATCAAATATAATCCATTTTGGAATGAAAGCTGGTTTCTTACCAAATATTTATAATCAAATTCTTTAAGGAATATTTGTTTATAGGAATTGGAGCATATATTAATTCTAGCAAGTGGGGTGCCTTAGCCACTATGGGGCCCAAAACCATTCATGAGATCAGTGATCACTCAGTGACAGAAAGTTAAGTGAATAATTGAAACCACTATCAAATTAAACATTAGTGTCTTAATCACATTATTCTTTGTCCTTAAACATGTATTTATGAAGTGGGTTTACGATTCTAACCATGTTTTTATACCTAATAGATTCCAACGAGCTTGAAAGGTTTCAGAAAGAAGAGATGTGTCGTATGCTTTATGCATTTTACTTCCTATAAAAGCAGAACAAATATGAGACATTAAAGAAATTATAGCAACACACCTGTTCATCTTGCAGCTTCAGCATCCTTCAGCATCAGGATGAATCCCCAAGTTAGCCAATGGTGTGTCTCAGCCAAGCCTTTTTTTGCTGTGGTGTTCTTGCAGTTTGGGCTTGCAGGAATGGACATCCTGTCTAAAGCAGCTCTGAACCAAGGAATGAGCAACTATGTTCTTGTTGTTTACCGCCATGCAGTTGCCACAATTGTTATAGCTCCTTTTGCATTGATTTTTGACAAGTATTTTTCTCTCTTCCATTCAGTTTCCCTCATTGGGACATTTTATCAAACAGTTTACATGCATGCATGAAGTGACCCTTTGAGGCTGTTTTTCTTTTCCCAGGAAGGTCAGACCAAAGATGACAATTCCAATCTTTGCCAAGTTAATGATCCTCAGCTTGCTAGAGTACTGCCCTGAATAACCCTTTCTCCTTGTAAATCTTTCAAGAACATAACATTTTAAATCTCCCCCTTTTGGCAGGCCTGTGATTGATCAGAACTTATATTTCTTGGGAATGAAGTACACAACAGCAACTTTTGCAGCTGCCATGTGCAATATTCTCCCTGCCATCACCTTTGTAATGGCTTGGATCCTCAGGTAATCAAAATAAGCACAACCAAACCATATAACCCAAACCCAACCTCTGTTATTGAAATTCCTCATACTTTTTCAGGCTAGAGAAGGTTAAAATCAAAAGCATCAGAAGCCAAGCTAAATTGGTGGGAACAATAGCAACAGTAGGAGGAGCCATGATAATGACACTGATAAAAGGCCCAATTCTGGAGCTATTCTGGGTGAAACAGAGAGCAGATCATGCACAACAAAGGAGCGATATCAGCCTTCAACACACAATCAAAGGTTCAATTATGATCACAATTGGGTGCTTCAGCTGGGCCTGCTTCATGATTCTTCAGGTGCCCTTTTCCCCTCACAAGATTCCCGAATCCATAATCTAATCCGAAAAGAACCCATTTGTTGATTCCCCCAACAGAAGATTTTATTCCCATCACACAGTTTAATAGCACGCGACGATTAACAAAAAGAACAACAATCGAATTCAACCATTTCCCCCCCACTTTTGAGGGGAAAAAAGAACTATAATTCATCGATAATTATATAAAGAAATTAATGATCAATGATTTGGGATATACAGGCAATCACTTTGAAAGCTTACCCAGCTGAGCTTTCTCTCACGGCTTGGATCTGCCTGCTGGGCACAGCGGAGGGCACTGTGTTGGCTTTGGTGATGGAAAGAGGAAACGCCGCCGTTTGGTCTATTGGTTGGGGAACCCAATTGCTCGCTGCCGTTTATAGTGTAAGCACGACTAATTTCTTAATTAAGTTCAAATTTTCAGTACTATTTTTAAAAATCTATTTTAATCAGTTTTTCAGATTAATTTTTTTATTTATTTAATAGAAATAATTAATAATTTTTTTACTAAAATATTTTTAATAATATATATTTTAAAAATAATCTCTATTACATCCTTAGTGTAAATTGTAACAAAATAAAATATAAAAAAAAAAAATATATATATATATATATTGACACATAAAAACTATTATTATTTTCGTTTAATTAATTTTTGTAAAAACGATTAGATTTAAGATTTATTCAAATTATAAAATTAATTAAAAAAAATTTTATAAAAAAACATAGATTAAAATTGGACCATTAAAAAGTAAAAATATAATAATATTTTAACCGAAAGTTTATTAAGATATAAATATATGGGTAATAAATAATTTAAACTATTTTTTAGTAAATAATAATTATTATTATAATTAAAGGAAAATAATCTCCCATACCAACATTTATTTGTGTAATATCATATTGGTGGTGGTGAAAGTATTTTTTATTTATTTATTATAATTTATTTATTTTTCTCATTTTAAAAAGAAAAGGAAATAATTTTTTAAATATTAAAAGGAATTTAAGATATTTGTGGTTAATAAAATTTGGAAATTATGTCAGGGGATATTTTGTTCAGGGCTTGCTTATTACATTCAAGGATTAGTGATGAAAGACAAAGGTCCTGTGTTTGTCACTGCCTTTAGCCCATTGAGTATGGTCATCGTCGCTATCATGAGCTCCTTCATTTTGGGCGAACGTCTTTACTTTGGCAGGTAATTTCAATATCCAGTTGATTATTAATATCGAATCTCGAGAGAAGTTGAGTGTTAAGTAGAGGTATTCGTAGGTTGAATTGGATCGAGTTTTGACATTTTTTAAACCCAACTCAACTGTTCGGTTTTTAAATTTTCCAACCAAAGTAACATTGGTTAAATAATAAACTCAACCTAACCTAACCATGGTTAAGTTAAGTTGTTTAGGTCATTTATTTGGCAACTCAATTTTAATATATATTTTGAAAATGTATCATCTAATTTGGTTAAAAAAAATTAAAAAATGGTTGGAGAATAAATAATTATAAAATTAAATAAAAATAAAAATTTAATTATTTTATAAGTAAAATGTGTATTTTAAAATTAACAATAAATTCGGGTTGATTCAATTCAACCTAATCAGTAACTTATGAACCAAACTAATTTATAACCCCAACCCAACGGTTGATCGGGATTTTTGAGTCATCAAATTTTTTTAGCATCCTTAACCTATAACGACCGAACATACAGTGATCAATATGGACCAGTCTGGATCGATTATTTTTATGAATGTTATTAATATTAAATTAAAAAAAATAATAATTTTGCAGGATACTTGGAGCTGGGGTGATAATTGTGGGACTATATCTTGTTGTTTGGGGGAAAAATAAAGATGGGAATTCCTCAAATGAAGACTTGAAATTGCCCATCAAACAAACAACAGAGATGCAAGAAAGTTCATCATCAGTTCAAGAACTTAATTCTGTTGATTCAAACAATGAGCAAAAATCATGAAATTGGAACCCAAAACCTTATGAATCATCTTTGATTTCCTGAATTTTTCTGAATAATTTTCAGAAAATTAGGGTTTTTATTAGGATTCTTCGGGTCGGGTGCAATGTTATGGAAAGATAACGATGAATGAAAAACAAACTTTGGTATTTAATATATTTAGTTCTTGTCCAACAAGAAACTGATAACGAAAGAACGACAATTATCAAATGAAAGAACGATTTGATGTTTTTGAGATAAACACAGACTTTGCTACTCGAGTTCAAATAAGGCATCTTACGGTGGGTATCTTTCCTATTGGGTTTTTGTGCCTCGCTGGATTATTATTATTTTTTTTGTTTTATCGAATATGACGTGTTAACCTAAATATGAGTTAACGCTTAGTATACGATCAATTTTTTTAGAAGTCGTCGAAGTTATAGGAAAAGTAAGATATGGGTGTAGATCAATCATTCGAGCTCTGATTGTTTGACGTACCTTTGATTTAAACAAGTTTTTATCATTGTCTTGATAGTTTCCGACCGACAATAACCTACGACGCTTCTCATGAAATGAAGACTTATTGTTACGATAATTTCATTGGCGTTTTCATCTTGTTAGACGAATTTATACAAATTTTTAGGAGCAGGTTGATTATTACTTTCAATTTTCTTGGGAAAGAATTGAAAATAATTTAGGAATTATTTTTATAAATTATAACAAATGAAAGAATCCAGTCGGAAACAAATCAAATAACAAGATCAACTGTTGGAGTCATTTTTCCGAACAGCATCTTCAAGTCATTCTCCAATGGCGTCAAATTGAGGTCCAAGCACATAATTCTCCTACTCCCAGATCTCTTCAGCACCGGAATCTTCTCCGGCACCGCCGTCACACGGTGGCGGCGCATGTGCCCACCGAGAGCCTGCCCAGAAGAGAACTCCTGTCCACAGAGGCCACACTCGTGCATTTTGTGTTTCGAATCCACCGGCTCCTTGGGGTCTTCCGCCGTGGTCCGGGGCCGTTTGTGGCTGGCCCGGTGGCCGCCGAGAGCCTGGAAGGATGAGAAGTGGCGGTTGCAGGTTTTGCAGTCGAAAACAGAGGCGTTTTGGAATGGAATGATGGGGTTGGATGATTCAATTCCATAAGAGATAAACATTGGGGATTTGGCCATGTCGGAGACCTCGAATTCTTGTCTGATTCTCTTAGCCGCCATGGGAATAAGAATTTGAAGAATTTGAAGAAGAAGAAGAGTTGCAGAGGAGCTCTGTTCTTATGGGATTTTTACAGAGGAAAAGGAAAGATTTGATTTTGATGAAGGAGATGGGATTTCAAACTATTTAACCTCTGAATTCTTGGTGGGTTTTGGTTTGACTAAACAAAAATCACACCTTTTTTTTTTTAAAAAAAAAATACATATATATATATATTGGCTGCTGGAATTTGTTTAAACAAGTTGGACTCTGAAACTATTAATCGTGTCCCAGAATTTATCCAACAATCCTTATCCAAAAAAATTTAAAAAATAATAATAATGACGTAATATGAATGTGTAAAAATAAGTGAAGTTGGTGAGAAATAAATAGTTTTTTTAAAAAAAAAATAAAAAAATAAAAAAAGTCATGGATGGCGAGCTGGATATGACCGTACACGACCTTTCATGGAAGCTTCCAACCCAATCATCATTTGACTTTCTTCTACCGAACAACGATTATGTAGTACTTATTCTAATCAAGTAAGTCAATCGTGCGAGAGTCGGACTTTACGGACAATATTTGCCTATCTTAAAATCTCGAGTCAAGGAGTAACGATCATAAATTTATAATAATAATTATTTTTATTTAAAAGATTATTGAATTGAAGTGATTGAGTTTGAGAAGACAATGTCAAAGGAATATAAAACTAATCACAATATTAATTGACACGTGAGTTATGATATATATGTTTATTTTTTATTCAATAAAACCCCACAATTATCATGTTTAATTAGGAAAATTAATAAAAACTCCCATGTGTTCTAGAAGCCGTACTTGATCCACGTGTCCAATTGAAAAACTATCTATTCAACGTCTTATAGAAAGTTCAATATATATATTTAATTAATTACATCATATTTAATTTTAAGTTAAACCGTTTAATTCAACGCTATAAATTTAGCTACTTGATATCTATATGATCGATTTTTTTTATTTCATACTAATTATTTATTTATTCTATTAAATACGTGACTACTTTGTTCATTTATATGATAATAATAATATAAATATTGATTTGGATAGTTAGTTTAGTTGATTAGGTTGAGGAGAGAAACAAAATTGAATATTAACTCAAAAAATAAATATTATTTGAAAACTTTTAAAGCATGTGTAGATTAATTGTAATTTATATGAACAATAAATACGTGGCAGCCGGCCTTCTGTCTTCTTCCCATCTTACTTTCCATCGTTCAAATTAGTGCAACAATTTCTTTATAGCTAACTCATACGGACTCATGGCTAGTAGATATTGTTAATAGATATTGTACGCTTCATGGATTTTAAAATACGTCTATCAGGCAGAGGTTTCCACACTCTTATAAGAAAGCTTCTGGCCTCACGATTTTAAAAAGTTTCCACACCTTTGTAAGAGATGCTTCGTTACTTTTTCCAATCAATGTGGGATTTGACAATTCACCTCTCTTGAGGGTCTGCGTCCTCGTTAGACGTCTATTAGGGAGAGATTTCTACACAATTCACTCGTGAAGACCAACGTCCTGGCTAGTACACCAAGTCGTTAAAGTTCAGTAATATATAATAGATCTCCCTTGAATCCTTAGAATCATTGACATAGTCATGAATAGTGTTTGGATCTTGAAAATTTTCAAGTTAATAAAAAAGGGGAATACCTAATCGTCTCTGAAAAGTGGTCTCTCTAAAGAGGGCCCTCAACTGAAGCACGTGAGAAGGCTGAAACTTCTCAATCACTTTTGTGCTTTGAAAGAACGGCCCGGCGGCTAACAGCCGCCAACCGGCACCTGGCGGTTTCGAACACAAGCATCATTGACTTGCAGAAAGCTAGCTTTGATGATGAACAACATGAAGAAACAGATCAAAATATTATATATATATATTCATATAGTAAGGAATAATATCTGATCCATCTTTGAACAAACTAAATCTAAAAAATGATACACATACAAACAGTGAACAAGAAGAAGATGAATAAATTTCATCATCATCATCTCATCTGGCTATTTTTTCACTAATCAATCATCAAACTGACCTCAATAAGATTCTGTGATGAAATGAAAAGGACTTCTTCGCAGCTTCACAGCATCATGAAGCAAGCTTTGTTTTGGTGCTCTTTTTCAGTTGATACTTGTAAGAGGAGCTCTTGAGGATAATAACACTGCTCCATCTTGAACTTTGCCTTCCATCAAACCCCATTTCAACTTATTCTCTGTTGAAATGCCTTCTTTCAGATGATGTGCTGGAGTTCTCATCTCCTCAATGGATCCTAAACTTGGCACTGCAATTACTCTTTTCTTCGGCGTCGAGTCGGCATGTTGATCGACCTGTTCGCAATCGAAGTTGTAAACAAAGCTATATATGGACATGATGATCATGGCTAGCTATTATCAGCAACAGATCTAAGCCTCATTAAATCAATGGAGTCAGTAGTCAAGCAAAAAGGCAAACCAGATAATCTTTTATGAGGCACTGTTCTGCCTGGTCTCGGATTTTCGATACGGTTCGTCCATGGTTATCTTGCGTGGATTTGAGGACGTCCAAGCATGAGGTAGCAATCGAGTCCAACTCATTTTTATTTTCATGGTCCAATCTCAGAGAATCTACATAAGATTTTCACCAGAAGTAAGCATAAGAAAAGTAGTTTTTCAAAAAGAACCAACGCATTTTTAAGGTATCTAGAAGTACCATTTACTGCAGTCAGTATACCACTGACTTCAGCATCAAAGTCAGCATCCAGTGTTGAAGAAACAGCTGCAAATTCTTCAAGTGCAAAATGATTTTTGCAAATAATATCCCTGTTTTAAAACAATTAAGGAAGTTTACTTTTTGCAAATCATAGTCAATGAGAAACTGAAGAACTAAGTAGGAGAACAAAAACTCACTTTATAGAAGATTCTATCTCTGTAGCACCATTCTTACTCAGTTTTATCACCGATGATTGTGCATCTTCCCATAGGTTTTGAGAATGATTCAATCTCTTTGAGCTACACATTGTAAGAAAACAGATTTATACTCAAAACTTTAATCATTTTGTGGGACAGCTGGTTATTTTTTCAATCACAAAAGATGATTCAAGTAAAACTTACCATTCATCGATTCCGTTATCCAGTTCGGTCTTCGATTCATTTGCTGAAATCATGCTCTTTGTGAAATAAGATTCCACCTTTTCAACATATTCACTCATGTCCTTCTTGGCACAATTTGATACTTGCTGTATGCAGGACATTTCTTGCTGTAATATCTTGTTGTGTTGTTGGTTCAATTCCTGAATGTTCATTGATGCCTCTGATACCTATTGAATTTAAGAAGTTATGTCACATAAGACTTCATTCTAGTCTTTAAAAAAATATGCCAACAACATTGAAGAACATTGACCAACCATCTCAGCCCTCTTAGATGTCAAATTTGCAATAATGGCTGCGATGTTCGCCAGAGCTTGTTTCTCCTCTTTCTCTGCCTGCTCCTATTTCATAAATTGAAGTAGGTTAAAATTTGACAGCGAACAATGAAAAACTTCAGTTGGCAATTTGGCTTTAGCTACCTTGAACGTCTTCTCAAAATTCACTAATTGGTTGGACTTCTCAATTTGATTTTCTTCAATCAACGTCATGACTTTGGATGCATGGGAATGAAGTTCATTAAAGATGTTCATACTTGCATTTGATATCTTCCGTGCTGAAACCAAACTGTGTTGCAATCCCTGAATTTTTTTTTCCAAGGATTAAATTAATTGGACTTGACAAGAACTCCTAACCATTAAAAGCCAGTTTTACGAATAATGAGCACTACCTCCTCTTGTCGTTGCATATAGAGGTCAAGAAGTTGTTTCTGATCATCAAGAGAACTCTGGATCTCCTTGACAACCTCCTTGGCCTCCAATACTGCATTGACCAAGAACTGGACAAAATTTCACATGTTGAATTGTCAGAATTTTCACATGTAACTTTA